AGCCTTGAATTTCTCTCAACAGTCTCTTTGTTGCCCATTTGATTGATTGAAGACACATTTATATGCTTCCTCTAATAGATAGACACTCCATAAATTTTCACAGCTATGAAGACACTCACTTATAGATGAAACCAATCAGCTATCTAAACTAGACACATATCTTGGAGATCTTAAGACCTGAATGAAAAGAATTTATTATTCCTCTTGTGTCAGGAGGGATTAAAGATATTGTTCTCATATCAAAACACCTTTTTTAAAGAAGCCCCACAGCATCAGCTTGACATCCATCCATTATCATTCCTATCCCTATCCTGCAAATGGACATGCACTAAGACTGCTGTGCAAGCTGCACGCTTTAACTTGAACTGTTATTTGTTTTAGGAACAGTTACAACCCTGTAGTAGCTGCAAATAGTTCACATACTTTTACAATTATTATAGGCAGTGTAGCCATAACTCTGTGAAAGCTGTTGTTGTCATTGTGAATGTTGCTGCTGTCGGTCTCTATTCAACTCTTTCTTTCATACTTTCCAACTCTGACACGAGCAGCTGTTGAACATGAGTCTGGTTCTGCTCAAGGTTTCTGTCTATAAGGAAGACATTTTTTCTCGCTTCTGCAGCTGGAATATTTGTTTTAACAAAGAATCTGTTTGTTTGAACTCGCAAATACAGTATGTGAGGATCGTCATAATTATAATACCAGGCAGGCTACTAGGGGTGACATGGTTAAAGAAAAACCCAGAACAAATGCAGTCCGCAGATCTGTAATGTATCGAGCAATTTACATTTGGAACACTTTACTGACAATGATCACGGAAGCACCTAGTAAGGCTAGTTTTAAGAGACTCCTTAAAAGATACCTGACAAATTACACTAATCTTAATTGTAATCTTAACTGACTTTTAAATTTTAGTTTAATTTGTTTGCTGCTTGTTTTTTTTCTTGTTGTTTTGTTTTTTTTTTGTTTGTGGTTTGCTTTTACTGGACTTTTATTGTCTTGAATGACCTTTGCAAGACTGTACATGTTTTATTGAATTATGTATTGTATTGTCTTGTATTGTATTGTTTGTTTTATTTGTGGACCCCAAGAAGAGTAGCTGCTACCTTGGTGGCAGCTAATGGAGATCCGTATGAATAACGAATAAAGAATAAAGTGATAAAAGTTGCCAAGTGTTGTGCTTATAGTGGCTCAAGATAGGATAAGGAAGAACCTTGTCTTGATGTTGGGTCTTTGAATCTACTATAGCAAGGGCAAGGTCCAGACTTGCTCTTTCTGTGAGGTTTAACTTGCGCTGTATGGGTTGCCATGAGGGATAAGGTGTATGGTAATTTGGTGGGAGAGATGCCAGGCAAAATTGAAAAATCCCACCCTAGTAATTCCTGAGCTTCACAATTGTACAAGTCTCCCCAGCAGCACTGACAGGCTAATCTAGTTCCCCTGCTATCATAATGAGACATGAATGCAGGGCAGTTTATTTCAGAGGTCTGAACCTGTGGGCAAGAAAACTGCAGCTGGAACAATTGGCACATACAGTTTGTACAAATCTACATCCCCCATCCCCCATCCCCAATCCATCCCCCCCCTTCTCCATCACAGCTGATAACTCACCCCTGTCTCCTTCCTCCTCCATCCGCAACCTTGGACTCATCTTTGATACCCACCTCACTTTCGAACAACACATCAAACAGGTCACTAAATCAGCCTTTTTTCACCTCAAAAACATTGCCCGTATTCGCCCATCTCTTTCCCTCCCCGCAGCGGAAACCCTGGTCCACGCCTTCATCACCTCAAGGTTAGATTACTGCAACAGCCTCCTGTACGGTCTACCCTCTAAACTCCTCAACAAATTACAGATAGTCCCGTATTCTGCCGCCCGCCTCCTTACCCACACCCGTTCACGAGATCACATCACCCCCATCCTCCTCCGTCTACACTGGCTCCCCATCAAGCAACGCATCATGTTCAAGATCCTCCTTCTCACCCACAAAGCCCTTCATCATCAAGCCCCTTCTTATCTCACCGACCTACTCCAGCCTCATGTACCCCCCCGTAACCTCCGTTCCTCCTCTGCCCATCTTCTCACCCCACTGTCACGGCCCAAGCACCGAACTTGGGGGGATCGGGCATTCTCCTCAGCTGCCCCTACCCTTTGGAACTCCCTACCTCCCTCCATCAGACACTGCCCTGACCCCACTACTTTTAAATCCCTTTTAAAAACCCACTTATTTAAAATTGCTTTTAATATTTAACTGTTTTGTCCATCTTACTGTTTTCATGTCTTTGTCTTATTATCTTGAATTTTACGTACTATGTAAAGCGTCTTTGAGTGTTTTTAAAAGCGCTGTACAAATAAAATGAATTATTATTATTATTATTATTTACATGCAGATAGCCTCTGGCCACCAAATACAGTGGTATTCAGCTACTGTGACCCACTCTGGTTGTCCTGTCCTGTCATGGAAATTTGTCCAAAAAGTAGATGAGATTTTAATGATATTTTAAAGGATTTGAGGAATGATATTAAAGTGATATTAGACTGATGACAAGAAGTTTGACAGAAAGGTAACTGAAGATGGCCATTTTGTCTTCTTGAGTACGGGTGAAGGTCGTATGAAAAGGTAAAAATTTTTTGGAAAGTTTCAAGAAGGTCTTGTTTCTTATTGATAAACTTGTGGACAAACAAACAAGAGTGAAAGACATTGAGTTTGTCAATCGGTAAGATGGAGTATTTAGAAAAGAGAGGTGCAGAAGGTTTGTGTCTGCTGGATCGTGATATCATTTCTAAGAATCTTTTCTGGATTAATAATATTTTCTTGAGGTGAGTTGGATATGTTGCACACCATACAATATTACAGTAGTTCATATAAGGAAATAGGAAGCTATAGTACAGAGATAAGTGAGCAGAGGGATTGATCAAGGGACAGACCTTTTTAACTATACCGCAGCTCTTCATTGACCTTTTGCATTTACTGAGTTTTCTATGCTAGAATAATGCAAAAGTAATAGGATTAAATATCACATGTAAATAATAAGTGAAATTAATGCCATAAAACTAAATTATCTTAAGATGAACGTTCACTTAAATAGAAAGATATAACAGTAAATTCCTGTTACATTTTATCTTATCCTTAATCATGGTTATGGACTCAAAACTGAATCAGACAAACAAATCAATTCATAAATGCTAAATTGATTTATTGAGTAGCGTGACAGAAATAGAGTCACCAGTTAAAAAAAAAAGGGCCACATAAAAACATCATTGTTTTGAGTTTTCATTCCCTGCGTGAAATTGTTTCCACTGTGAATGACCGTTTGCCTTAAGTGTGTGTCACATTATACAACCCCCCCATTTTTATCACGCTTCTTTGGTTATGTCGGTATGACATGACAAATCATGTGATGAATGATCTCCACTGAAACATAAGTGTGTTTAGACTCTCAAGTATCCTCAGGCAGGGTATAAAAGGAAGCCCTCATTATTATATAATCAACACAGTGCTGGATTGTAACAGAACATTAGTCACACTAGTAGCGACAGACTTAAAAAGGAAAACTGACTTGATTTATTGATCTGATGTGTTTCACACTAGATGCAAGATTTAACAATATTGACAGTAGATATCCACAGGTTGTCTTAAACTTATTTGCATTCACCGCATGTATAATTAAACAGAGCTTTTCAGAATTTAGAAACGGTTTGTGCCAGCAATGCATCAACATCAACAATAAAACCATGTCTTTACAGGTGACAGAATCAAATGTCAAGGATTGTACATGACTATGCTCAGTTTTTATACCACTAGGCTCTAAAGAAATTCCTTTGGGTTTCGATCAAGACAGCTCCCACAGCAAACACTCACAGCTGCATCAATTGATTTCTTTTAGTGCACAATGGGGACAAGAAAAGTAACAACACCCTGACAGGTACACAGTCAAATGGTCAAAGTGTTAGGAGGTAAAATTGGTTTGGAGTTGCTTTTTCTGACCAACTATTGACTTTTAAATAAACAAGCTCTCAAAAAATAGAAAGCATGACAAAATTAACCATCTCTGTGGTTGGCAGTTTAAATAAGTCATATGAAAACCACACAGGGGAGAGTGGGGTAAGATGAGCCATTTTTCATATTTCGGATCACTACATCAAGGCAATCATAGTTTTGTCTCTAACCAGTGTATCTGCATATATTTTAAGATGTTGTACATCCCTGCAAACCACCAGAATGAGTGTAAACATAACTGTCTTGATAATATAGCATGCCAAAAAAAGTGGTCTCGGGGTAAGTTGAGTTGAGCCTACCCCTACTACCCTCCCAGTCTCCACCCCAGCCCCCCTTCCCTCACCTTCTTTCTCCCTAAATAACAGTCACTTCTTCACATTAATGTGTATTTTTAGCTATTATGCTTTTCAAATTGTACAATAATTATTTTTATTATTATTATAGCATATAACTGTTAAAAAGCTGTTTAAAAAAGCTGTCTAAAACGGTGGCCTTTTATGCTATTTTTTTGGAAATAGGTGTCTAACCCCTTCACCCATGTGCCTCTAACCTTCACAGACTCCATGAATTGATGCCCATCCCCTAAAAATTTGGTCACATGATCAATTTCTTTTCCCATTTCCAAGTTCAACTTACCCTTTGGCTCAGCTTACCCCACTCTCCCCTACTTACAAAGACACACAAAAAATGATACAAGCAAAATGTCTACATGATGGTACACAGACCAGGAGATGATGATTCTAACAATATTCAGCTGGGATGAATGGTGCACTTATATCTACCAATTCTGTCTCATCTTCATTACACATTTTCTGCATATCACAGAGGGAAAATAACATAACAGCAAAGGTTTTGTATGGGCTTGACTGATACTTGTTTCTCTCTCCGTGCTCATTAACGGCCAGGAGGTCAGAGCCATTACCAGGGTAACAATACGCCTCAGATGCGTGTAGTCTGCCAAAACCAAAGAAGAAGAAGACGACGACGTTACCACCTGCCGGAAATCTATTAGAAGAAGAAAGCGACATTACCAGCCATGTCCACTATGTGGAGTGAAATCGCGTGTGCTACACTGAAACCACTGAAACAGCTTAACATCTTCCTATTTTTTCGGGTAAGTCTCATTATTTGTCGCTGTAGTTGTTTTATTAAGCGCCTAAAGTTGCTATGAGAACCGTCTATCATTTAGTACTCTCCTGCATGGTGTGGTAATTCTGTAACTTGGCTAGCTAATGTTAGCTTGACGAGCGCGAGCGGCGCTAGTTAGCTGCGCTAGCCGTAGATTTACGAACGGTTATTTAACCAGAGGCTAATAATTGATGAAACGTGGTTATCAATTAACCAATATTTAAAGTAATGAGAAGAGCTGGTATGGTAAGGACGGTTGTATTTGCTTGTTTGTTAGTCAAACTAGTGTATATTTTTTGCTTTGTCATGGCCTTGAATGTAAACCTAGAAGAACTGGTTATAGTTGCAGCTATCTATAATTGCAGTTGAAGGCATAGGAAACTGCTGTTTTCTTATTTTCCCCAAGTATTGTTGGAGTTTTTTTTCACTTATTCCTGCCATTTCTTGCAACATTTACCCCAAGTTTCAGAAGAACTGTGATTGTAAAAGTGCACCTCTATGGTTTAAGGCTTTGAAGGGATATTCTTAATTTAGTAAAATTAAGTGAGGGTCAAACACACCGTAACACCCCCCGAGAGATGAATGTTGCAGACCGCTTGCTTCTCTAATTATACCAACTTTAGTAATGACAGCAGGATAGCAATACACTACGGTCTGAGGAGCCATTAACAGACCTCAACCAAAACACCTCGCTATAACCACAAATAATGCTCAGAACAGCACCTAACTTCATCAACAGGACAGATAGGGTCCCAGCCACAGCACTAACCATCAGACATCTTTTTAACTTTGCCTAATTTCTTTATCAAAGAGACTGAACACAACTCACCTACCCTCTTCCAGCAGCCGCTTGTCTGTCGCAAGACCTCGACCAGTCCATTACGGGCTACCTTGGGGTGACGCAGCTCAAGGAAGAACATTCATGATCATTTCTCTACCATTTCCTTGAAGTAGTAATCATCATATTAATTATTTTGCACTGCAGACGCTGTATTTCTTCTGCCTTAGCATCTCAGTCTGATTGCATTTCCATGAAGAAATGATCATAAATGTTCTTCCTTGAGCTGTGTCACCCCGCAGCAGTACACCAGAATATCCCTTTTTAAGTTTGAATTTTAGAAATGATGACAGTACCTACTTGAAATCAATTCTGAAATTCTCTTCACAATTGAAAAAGACGCTTGTCTATGTGTGTGAAAGAGAAAGAAAAACTTATAATGTATTGGTGTAAACATTTTCAGTAAGGGTAAATGAGATATTTGTGCGCCTGGGGGGGATGGTGTGGACAGAGAGTAGGCCACCGCCTGTTGTGATTGTGATTTGCAATACAGCAGCCAGCTGAAGCTTGCAACAGGGAGGCTCACAGGCAGCGAGTGAATTTCATTAAATATTTCAGTGCTTCCCAGCATTTATGAGGAGGTCAAGGTATGCAACTAAAAGATGAGAAATTTGCATTGCAGAATTCCTCTTTTACTATGCCATGGCCTAGTGCTTGCACTGGAATGAATTATTCCTCGGCTGATTTGATATTCTAGTTGGTGCACTCATAATCTGAGGGGTTGTCGTGTAAAATGTGTATTTTCACTGGTTCCATATCTTGCCTACTGTCATTTTGAAGTTTTTGATGAATGAACATACAATCGCTTATCTTGTCAACATCCTGACACTGTATGTAACTGGGCATTGGAATCCTTTGGGTTGGTTTTCTTCACAACAGCACTAGAGGAAAAGGCAGCACAGCAGATTGAGCACAGATGTGTGGAGACAAAAGTCAATCAGGAAGTACTTAGCCAGTAGAAGAGGAAGTGAAGTGACAGAACCTATTTGAAGGGACCCAACGGCATGAATGCAAATACCTTATCTCTCTCTGTAACCTCTTCCTTTTAAATAGTGTCATCAAAAAAGACGGACTCAGTCTTGCATAAATGTTATGAAAAAAAGCAAAGAAGCAGGTACTCTTTCACACACGTTACTCTGGTTTGAGTCATATCCTCCTTTTTCTGATTGTCAGTTTTTTTCCCTGTGTATATGAAAAATACAGTAATTGATGTCTATTCATATTACTATCATGTACGGTGTACAGGTATCCTGATTGTTATTCTTCAAGCGCGTCTGCCTCTCGTAGAATTTTACATCATGTAGCAGACGCTTCTGTCCAAATCACCTGTCTCTGCAACTGAGGTTCCTTAACAGAAAAATCGAACACACTTTGATGTGGAGCTGTGTTTTCTCTTAATTTAGCTTCTCTTTATTTGATGTTACACTGAAAGACATGGCAGGAAAGGATCAGACCCTGAGGTAATTTCTTTTCAGAGCACTACAGCTCTTGTTATTTCCAGCATAAGTACCCATAATCCAGTTAGTGACATTTCTAACTAACTTGCATAAGAAGTAGCTGACATGTAGTTTTACTCCTTTTACTGAGACTTCTGGTTTATAATTTGCCTTTTTACTTCAACAGTTGTGAAAGGGACTTCAACACTGTAAATGTTTGGGAACCAAGGAAAGCAGTTTCTGATGTTATGGCGGTGAAATACTTTTAAAGGGTTTTAGCTGCTCAACTGTTCAGAGTCTACATTGTCATGATACCAGATGTCTACAATAGGTGACAGTCAGCACAGATCAAAGTGCTGCCAGATTGTGCTGTGCTGCTACATGATATTGTCTATTCGCTGTGCTGGTTGGCTGCATTTCAGCACAACATATGACACGACATATGAAGGGCATTTTGGTCCTACAGTGGTGAAATAAGCCGATGAGTAAGTGTGACAGTATTAAGTAATTTCAAGTATTCTTTAGCCTTGGACATTAGCTTTATTGCCCTTTTTTTTTTTTAATTAGAGACAGTATTGTGTATAAAATGGGATTACTGTTCTACTTAAATATACTATCTTTCCGTTACTATTCTTCAGTGCGCTCATGTTTGTGAGTGTAATTTTATGAAAGGGTTGAAGATGGCAAAGTGTTTTTCATACATGAAGAAAGTCTTGTCTCTAAGTCTTCACATATTTTAAGTCTGTCACGCTGAATTTACAGCCCTAAAATACAGAGATCAGAGAAAACTAGATTTAGACTCCCCTGCACATAAACAGCATAACACTGATTCCATTCACCATTTCATCTGCAGTAACTGAACCCTTTACTCTTGTTGATATTTCCTGCAGCATGCCTTTACCTTGCACCTACTCCGCTTTCACCCCCCTCCAATCTTTGCACTTCTTTATGTGTGAAAACATCCTGTCCTGTGAGAGGTATGAAAATGCTCTCGGTGGTACCAGAGAGTAACTGCGATGACCCCATACACCATGTGTTTAATATTGTCACAGCTACATTTAGTGTGCGTTAGTGTTCATAGTTAAAGATAAGGAGAGGGTCATCATTACTGTGTGTTTGTGACAGAGCATAGTGTGTAGGTAGGGTCATGGCATCGATGGGGACCGGGACTGACATTCCGATTCTCCCAGAATCATTCAAATTTTAAAATTTCGATTCCAAGTTTCGATGCCGGAGTCCACCGACCAGAAGAAATAGCCGCCGAACAGGCCTTTAATGGTTTTGCAAAAGGCAGTGAAGCTTTGCTGACGGAGTGTAGTGGATTTAGAGTTTGTATTAATTGTGCTCACCCCTTACTTATTTTTCTGTATGGTCCCTCCAAACAACGCAGTTATCGGATGTGATGTTGGACCTCTCTCTCTCCTTCCCTCTCTCTCCATTTAAGTTGACAGTGTGTTCCAAATTTGAGAGCATTTTACAGAAAAAGTTGTTCCTACTACTTGTTCGCCTCAAGAGGAGTTTGCGTTGAATTAAATCAGTTCTAGTAATGCAAAGTAAAAAATAAAAAAAGACTCTTAATTTATTTAAAAAAAAGGCACCCAGGATATTTTTGCCCAGTAGAATTAAAGCCCTGACTTTTAAATGCAACATAAGCTTTTCACATTGAGATCCCGTCACAGCATCATAAGAAAGCTCTTCATACATACAAGTGGGGCATCAGTGTGTGTATTGCAGCATTTCAGAAGCGTCTCTCATGTAGGCTAAGGGACTGAATGACTAACACCTGCCATCACGCCAGTTATTTTGCACAGCAGATGTTTTGCAACTGAAACAGCTGTAAGCATCTTAATAGGAAGGAACGTAAATACAGCAAGGTCACACAACAGCACGTTAATGATGATGTACAACCACTTTGATTTAAAAGCAATCTTTATGTTGATAGTTCATGTATCATTTATAATGAATCATGAATTGTGCATTTTGAAGAGACAAGCCACACTTATGTATATACTCTATGTGTATGACAGATGATTTTTCAGGCTGCCACAGGCAAGTATATTGATGACATATAATCCTGTGGCAAACAATTTAATTTTACAGCATGAGTGACCGCAGCTTGTTGGGTCTGCATGCATCTTTGCTGTTATTTATTGACAATATGCTCAACATGTTTTCATACTGAAGAAGGTTAAGCTTTTTTAATGTCATGCTGAAAAGATTATGACGTTACATACAAGTCCAATGCAGTACGACATGAGCAACATACAATGTAGAAAATTAAACAGCTGGTGGGGGGGTAAATTAGAGCAGGCCACTTAGACAGGCAAGAATTTATGCTTCACTCTGAAAAGGCTTTTTTCAGACCTTGATAGAATGTAAATCAATATCACAGCACGACTCTTTCAATATAACCACAGGTTGTATGCAGTTTGAGTAATGGGATTGCATGCATCTGTGTGGCTGGCATTTACACACCTTCTGTCTGCAGGCTAGAAGCCGCCACTCCAAACCTGTGCTCGATGGATTTGTTTCACATTTATGTGCAGGTGGACTTTTATGTTTTTTTGCTTAACGTTTGCAGACATGGAAGAAGGTTAGATATTTTCTAAGGCTTCAAATGTAAAGGATGCTGTGTAAAATGTAAACAGAAAATGTGATGGTTTGAAAACATACATACTTTTAGTTATTGATGAAATTGGTGTGTGGTCCAGGTCAACAGAGGGACCTGTTGGCAATGTTTATGGATGTTTGTAGGATGAGGATCAAAGCTGTGAGGTTATTATCAATGCTTTTTGAAGCTCTGGGCCATCTGAAGTGACTTACTGTTGACAGAAATGTGGCTGGGGTGAGGGTAAATCAACGCCATGAAAGAAATCAGAAATATTGTAAGAGCTGTGTTGATTAATTTGCATTTGTGGCACAGTCGGAGTCTTTGATAACCCATGCTTTTCAGGGATTACATGAAATATGTTTGAATCATAAAAGCTGTAACATGCAATCTCATCTGTCAATAACAGAACAGAAACAGCTTTTGTCTCTGTGAAACTCGCTCTATAAGGGTCGTGAATCCCATTATAAGTCACAGAAAGAAAGGATGGCCGAGCACACAACAGCTCTCACCACAGCTCTGGTGTAGGCATGGAAACGTGAGCTGCAGACATGTGTCAAGAGATATTGTTGGCTCTTTTAGCCAAACACAGCACTTACCAAGACTGCAACAGATCAGAAATTAGACAGTTCAGATTGTGTCGCATCCTTTTTGGGATAAACACATTATCTATCTACATCTTTGATAAACTATAAAACTCTAATACTTAAAACACTGAAGTTCTCTCCTCCCTCTTAATGCATGTGACTGTGTGTAAATAATTTGAATTCCTCATTGCAAATGGTTCACATTTTAGGATTATTGAACTGTAAAACGCCTCATGGAGAGGTTGGATGTGGAGTTGTCTACTAAAGTCTAAAGACAGTGCCCATCAGAAATGGCTTGTGAAAAATGTTGAGTTGCATGTCATATGAGTTTTTTCTTTTCACACATTTGCTGCCAGAAGAGGGATCAATAACGAGGAAAGGACAGGCGTGAAAAGGGAATGCGTGGTTAGACACATCCACTCATTGCTACATAACCTCCTTTCTATGCGGTGTCACACTTGGTTAATGTTGTGGGGCTTATCTGAAAGTCCAGAGGATTAATAAGTAGATCCACACTAATCTCTAAACAGAGGTTAGGAGCCAATGATAAATCTGTTGACTGTTGTCTGGCTGTCTTTGTTGACATAAAAAAAATATTGTATCCTTAAACATCACCATGAGACATATTTGCCTACACTAAATCCACCTTTTTCCCTTAAAAAAAAGTCTTTTTTTAGCCAGTTTGAAACAGTTTGTTTGAATGATTGGCAACAAGTTAAAGTGAGATTGATCATCAAACTTACATGTGTGAGCATTGAACAGTAGATATCAGTACAGAGGTTCCTGAAGTGACACCGCCACCTAGTGCTGGTCATTACAGTGAGGAAGCTGTAGTCTGGGCTCACTAATCAAACAGCTATTTGATTGTTTTTTTTAATGAGTCATCGAATAAGGCTGGTTTTTAAACAACCTTAATCAACAGATTTGAGAAGTGGACAGGAATCTTTGGTCATGTTTTGGCCTGGTTCCACTCTGACATCTTTAACTGAGAGTTTTTAGTCAACTTCTTGATCTGCTGTGTCAGAAAAGATGAAATGAGGGTAATCTGTTCGGTCTCTACAGCCCGCTAACACGGACAGAGACGTGGTCGAGCTGCAATCATGAGAGGCAGAATTGAGTCAGGCATGAGTAATTGCAGCTTCAGTGGCTGATGGGGTGGAATAAATCTGTAAATGACTTTGAAATAAATGTAGTGGCTTCGATGTTGAGCCTTAAGTAATTATATATTTTTTTTCCTAGGCAGGATGGACAGAAGGGGCGACTTAACAGTCTAAAAATGGACCAACATATGAGGTGAGACTCACTCTGTGTGTGTAACATTTTCAAACCCTTTACTATCTATCTGTGCTTTCTTATTGAGTTCCTCTTTTGAGTAAAAATAAGGCCCTCTGGTGTTCAAAGCAAAGCTGATGATGCACACTAAGATCTCTGCATGTTTTTTTTTCTGAAATTATATTCTTATTAGAATAAAATCTGCGAGAACTCAATAACAATCCCCAAACGAAGAAACCATCTTACTCCTCCAGCAGGTAACCATAAAAAATAAACAGCAGGAAATAAAACAAGTAGTGCAGAAAAACTTCTCCATATAAGTATTTCTCATGAATAATACATTTAAGAGGGAGTTTCATTGTCAGAGTTCCTTGGATAAACCCCAAATCATCTATGTTCGAGTTCCTCGTGCAGCAAAAAAAACTATGTTTTAAATCAAACCTCGCTTTAATAATGCAGCTGTTTCAGAAGGCCTCGGCATAAATCAGCTGCTTTGTTTGAAGCGTAAAAGTTGAATGAATATGAAATGAAAGGAACTCTGAAGGTGGATTATTTATTATTTAGTGACGTTTCATCTGAAACGGACACAATGTGCCAAAGAAGGATGTGAGCTGAGAGTCACATGGCAACTCAAGTTAGGTAAGGACATGCAAATCGGAAATTCTTTTGATCACTTTTGAAAGAGAGTATTGCAGGAATGTTACTTTTACACAATACAGAGGGAAAAAAAATCCTTTATCACTTCAGGTTAACCCAGATTAGAGTCGTTTTTCTTCAACAACAGAGACAAGTAAATTATGTCTGTGTTCATCATTTTTATTTCAAATAAATCTATACAACTACATTTTTGGTGATAAACAAATTGATATTGAGAAGCTGAAAACAGATAACTCCATTTTTAATTTTAATAAGCACGTCTGTAAGTGTAGTTTCCTTAACGCTTCTGCCCAGGATGCCATTCAGCTCAGTTGTCAAGTTGTGCGTCTTAAAGACTCCAGTCCTTAAAAGCGTACAGCTCTCCCCTTCCCGTTTTCCCGTTTTTTCCACAATCCCGTGTCTAAATAAAGATGAAAGACTGAGCATAAATTCATGAAAAGGAAATTCACATTACATCAGTAAATTGATGAACTGTGACAGCTTGAACTCTAACCCCAGTATCAGGGGAAAAGTAAACACCTGAGGTGAAGAAAGAATGCAATACAGAATATCACCAGTAGAGAGCAGGATTGCTTGTCCTATTTATCCTGACCACTCAGTACATGATCATGTTTTTAACAGCAGGATACTGAAGATTTATAAAGATCATGTAACCAATAAATGCTAGGTAGCTGCACTCTGCACTTCTACATAAGACATTTGATTTTAATTTAAACACAAGTGTCAAAGAAAAATGCAAAGAGAGCTTTCATAACCTGCTTAGTCTTGTTGTTTACATGATAAATATGTGATACCCAGTATGATATGAACCTCAGTGTGAACAGTTTTAGGAGACTGTAGCTTGATCTGTCTAAATATAGTGTCACGTTAAACGACCAGTAGTTGTTTAAAATGTGGTAAAAAATATATTCCTGATCACAATAAACATCAAAATAAAAAGTTCCTCTGTGAATGAGCTCTCAGATCTCAGGTTTGGGTTTGTTTCATGTCAAAGATTTCACCACATCAATTCATTTTCCACTCCTATGGTGGTGCTGTAAAAAAAAAAGAAAAAACTCCAGCTGAAATTTACCGGTGTCAGCATCCTGCGACCGCTAATGCAGATAAAGTTTCAGTGTTTATTTTTCACATAAATAATCATGCTCATTCTACTCCGAAAAAAAACCTCTTGAATGTTCAGGAGAGGTATGATAAATTTTGTTTCCATGTGAGAGAGTAAAAACAACTTTGACAGCAGCAATGTTTTAACAGGGCAAGTGAATTTTGGCACCACCAAAGGCACTTTTCCTGTACTTCTTTTTCAGAGGAGTTCATACAACTCAGCTTAATCAAGGCTGCTGAGCACAAAGGGGCTATTTGTTTAATCATTTTGGCTCTGACGGGAGGTATGCACAGACAACCTGGACTCACAGCCGCTGCTAGTTTGGTGTCAGTGTACATCTATGTGCCTGTGAACATGTGTGTTCCTCCAGTGCAGTTATATGCTCGCCTCTGCTGTGTCTCTACTGTATGCATGAGGCGAAAACTGACTTTAATTTTTCATGAAGCCGTGCAGATCTGAAAGGCTGTAGGAAGTAAAGCTTATTTTGAGATGTTAACATTGAGGATATTGGGGTATATGGGGTTGCAGATCTGGTTAGTGGCTACTACCAAAATGCTTTTTTTGTTCTTATACTTGGCATCTTGTAGCAAGGTGCAGTTTGGCAGTATTCAGATATAGAAAATGGAGATTATGTTGTATAGAGGCCTATCACTGGACAGGAGCAATGTGCAACCAGCCCATGTAGACACAGGGATTGCAGACTCTGCGATCCCTTGTTAGAAACACACTGAGGTAAATTTTGACTCTTTTCTGAGTAGGGCTGGGCGATAAACCGAAAATTTATCGATACCAAAAATTATGACAATAACTGATGTAGGACTGGGCGATGATCGAGTTAAATTTCAGTATGATCACAGTGATCAGCTGAGAGCATATTTACTCAATCAGACATAGAGGAAATGTGCATCACAACAGCCAATCAGAGTCAAGCTTTTCCTGCTCACTTCTGTAATTGCCGGAGAAGTAAACGGAAGAAGTAAACAGAATGACTGAACATGGAGCTGAACGCGGAGCTGAGGGCAGGAAGAGAGGTGTCAGCCGTGACTTTGAGTCATCCTCCGAAGATGTTATTGTTGAGAAGTTATTCAACGTCGGTTGTGTGGCGATGGTTCAGGTATCTCCAAAGTGATGTCGAGTAATTAAGCCAATGAGCAAAGTATGTCGGTGATCGGTGCCCTCAAAAACTGGCAACACAACAGATCTGTTTAATCATTTGAAGTTCTTCCCGAGTGATTATGCAGAAATCATGAAAATGCAAGCAGAGTCTGTACAGCCTGTCACTGCTGATGGCACGAGTAGCATTAGCAGTTTAGCTACAACTGGCAGTGCAGCCACGAGACCAAAGCAGCAATCAATCGTATCATCTACATTTACATCGTCTAATGTTTACATTTTAAGGCATGTTCATTATCTCTGAAGGGGCGATTTGTTTATTTTGGGTCTTGCATACCTGCAAAAACACTCAGGACTGTAAACTAATTCACTGTATTATTTAGTATTTATTTACATTTGTTATACTGTTGAGGTAAAATGTTTTTTATATTTTTCTAAGTGTATCTTATTCTTTGTTATTTACTTTGTATGTTAATAAAATTTTTAACTAATCTCTAGTTTCTTAATTTTTAGTACAGATGCTTTAAAACAAGCAGTTAAAAAAAAATCGTGATAATAATCGAGATCGGACGATATGACAAAATATATTGTGATCATTTTTTTTGCCAAATAACCCAGGCCTACTCCACCCCAACCGGTCCGTAACAAAGAGGGAAAGACAGGTGAGGAGATGGAGATGGAGAAAGTTAATGTGGAAGGGGGTGAACAGCTTGTGGAGTAGTTATCGTCCATTTATCATTATCGAGGTGAACTGCTCAATATATTGTGATATTGATTTGAGGCCGTATCCCCCAGCCCTATTTCTGAGTGTTTTACTTTTCTTCATTCTGAAAGATTTTAATCAGAGAAGCAAGTTTAAAATCCTTGACATTCAGTACAGATCAGTTTGTTGGTCTCACATTTATGTGTCTGTTTCATAAAAAAGTCAAGTCTCTTTAGATACTTGCAGGATGAGTCAGAGTATCGAGAAAGCTTTTGGATCTGTCTATCTGATGCCTTGAGTTTTGAATGACTGCAGCTGGCATGGCTAAAAATAGTGTAGGTGTTAAAAGGAATAAGTCGGCAAATTTTCATGCTGCAGGTCTTTTTTTTTTAAAGGCTCTAGTTGCACAGGATTCTGTGAGGTTAGCCCTGTGCAAAGTAGCAGCTCCATCGCAATTGTCTCAGAAATCCTTTGAGCCTTTCATCCCAGATCTTATTTCGTCTGCTCTGAACGTCTGTTTGATCAAGTGACGGGACGGAGCGCTTTAGAGGTGTAGTATCTGCCCTGCAGCCATGTTTTTCTCTAAAGCTGTTATTTATGTAATGCGCGGCACCTCCCCCCTCCACAAAAGTCCAACCTGAAGCTGTCAGACACAACTTAAAAGTACAGTGCCGTAATGACCTTCAGCGTAAAATAGCTACACACTACCTGAGGCCCTGACAGCACACTGTCAGCACAGCGTCCACTTCTTACTGTACGCCGCCAGCCTTTCAAGCAAAAAAAGAAACCATGTGAGCAACCTGATCCCTGTTGACACAGAGTTTAAACGACAGTATTCCACAAACACGGAGGCATTGGGCCTCCTCTGGGGACTTGTATGAACCCGCAGCTTCTGTGTACAGTTTAAAAAGCTAGTAGATGATTAGAAGGATCAAATGGCCAGGGGATAAAACCACAAAGGGGTGCTCTGCCCCGTGTGAAAACATTAAGGTGCTCATTATGATTACTTACGACCTGTTGACTCACTGAAATTGCTGTGAAATTGGCCATACTGTAGAGGAATTCTGCGCCCAGACAGACAGTAATTGCATTTCCTGTTAGTCTCCGAGTCCCCCTCTCTCTCCCTCGCGATGTGTTTGAGTGTGTGACTGAACACCTCTGTCAGCTGCCCTTGATCACAGAGAGTCGACAGAACTAGTTCTAGCAGAGACAGTCAAAAGAGATGAAGGGAAACAGCACATATTACACTCTGGTTGCATATGAAGTGAAAACCTTCAGAGAATGTTTTAAATTAGGGGTTTTTTTTATCATCATCATTGTGAAAACGGCTTTTTCCAAGACCTCACAAATTGTCTTGACCCTTTAAGGCATAAGTCGGCTTTATAGGATTTTTTTTTTTTCTGATGGCACTGATTGTCAAGAGAGCTGTTACCTTCAAAACCTGTGTTGGCGTATGCGCACATGAGGCACGTATAAAAACCCTCCCGCTGATGTGAAACGCAACTCCAGAAAACGCTTGAGTGCATCCAGGCCCTCCTAATGGCGCTTAGCTGGGAGAACACGCTCACTCCTCCGTGTCCTGTTCGATAAAACCGGGGTTTGGATGCGTGCCATCCTGAGGGGCTTGGCAGGATGCAGTGACTCGCTGAGGTTTGAAACCCCATTAAAAATTGTCACTTTATTTTAAGCAGCTGCCACACTTGTGAGTCCCACATCCTTCTGGAAAACCAATCAGAGCCTCAGTGCCGGCTGGGGATTGGCCAACCGACACTCATACTGTGATTGTCTGAGCTGTTAAAGTTTGTTTCCCTCTCGATGACTTTAGGGTAATGGTGGCTTTTAATTTTCTTGTCAGCTGAATTAAAAGGCGTCTGTCCGGCCTGTTGTGCCCCGAGACGCTGGGAAAAGATTATTTATGAAACTTTCACAGCATACCTGACTAAACCATGATGGTGGTGTGTGGGCCAGCCCATAATCCCAACTAGATTTATCGAATTAGCTACAGCTAGACGCTTTAGAGCACAGACTGCATAATTCTCAAATTTACCCTCCTGTAACCCTCCTTTGTCAGCTCAAAGCTGGGTTACAGTGTGTTTTTTCATATGCATGTATGTTTAGCTTTGACTTCATGATTGTAACGTGTTATATGTAACCTACCTAATCTGTTTTACACACACAGATGGGAGACGGGGCAGAGAAGACGATGTGAGAGAGCAAAGGAGCGAATATGGACTCCAGGCAGCAGGTCCCATGTTCCTGAATTCAGAGTAAGAAACACCACATGAAGGTCAGTGACCAAAGTTAGGCCTTAATGTCAAAGTGCAAGGTTCAAACCTCACCCCCAGGTACATAAGAGAAGGCTGAGTCTTAGTCTTCACCTGTTTTGCTCACACAGTAACACACACTGCATGTAAATGGGCGGCAGTAGCTCAGGAGGTAGAGCGGTCGTCCAGTAACTGGAAGGTTGGCGGTTCGATTCCCCCCTATCCCAAGTCTGTCCGTTGTGTCGTTGGGCAAGACACTTAACCCACCTTGCTCCCAGTATGTGTCCTCTACTGGTGTATGATTGTGAGTGTTGTGTGGTGGTGGTCACAGAGGCCGTAGGCGCAAAATGGCAGCACATACACAATGAAATACATAAACCTGTATTAATAACTAGTATATATGTCATATCTATATACAGTATAGGGTGTAGTCCACTTTGTAGAAGAAAAAATGAGTATCTTACACTCATTTTTTGCATTTCTTGTTTAGGGTGACTATACGTCCTCTTTTTTCTGGACATGTCCTCTTTTTTTGGGGGCTGTCTGGCCTTGTCCAGCTTTGTCTGGTGGAGTTTATAAAATCCTTCAAATGTCCAGAGTTTTGTATGGAAGTTTTGAGTTTGTGTCGCGTGGACTTACTGAGTCAGAAGCGCGTAAAAAACTCTCAACCCGACCTGAAAAACTCTCAAAATTTACTATGTGCGACTCAGTGACTCCGCCCTGTGTAGTAGTGTCCTCTTTTTGGTGATTCAGAATAGTGCTGGACGATAATTCGATAACAATATATATCGATCGATAGACGTGTGGTGCGATAGAAAAAAAACGGGTCGATAAAAAGTTCGATAGAAAAACACAGTTTCCCTTTCTTTTTCATCATAGCCTATCATGTAGCTTTTACTACAGTCATTACTTCCTCCTAACCAATCACAAACGCAGACCCAGGTACGCTACGGCACCAAGCCCAGCCCCTATCAAACCACAACAGACAGCACGTGTATTAGAAAAAATGATACAGCACGGAGAAGCGGAGTACATTGTCCCGAAAAAAGGTTTCAGTAGTTCACCAGCATGGCAATGTTTTGGTTTTTAGAAGTCTGACAAAAAGCGAACAGCGGTCGTTTGCAAAATTTGCGGAGAATTAGTAAAAACCAAGTCTGGTAACACAACCAACCTGTTTTACCATCTAAACCGATCGCACCCGCAGGAGTACGAGCTGTGTCGGCCGCGCCGCGGCTCCACGTCGTCGTCGGAGGAGGAATCCTCTGGAACCGCTGCCAGCACCAGCACAAAGCATGTGAAGCAGACCAAACTGGACTTTGTTTCTTGCCAAAATACGACAAAGCGTCCGAGCGGCATAAGGACATCACCCATGCAGTAACATGCTCCATAGCGAGGGACATACTGCCAATAACTACCGTTGAAAAGCCTGGCTGCAAACAGCTTCTAGCCACTCTCGACCCGCGATATGAAGTGCCCGGCCGCAAGTATTTCTCAAACACAGCGCTTCAGGCATGAAAATGGGTCAGGGGTTGAAAAGGTGAGAAGGGTGCGGAGGAAATACGTTCAAATGAGCTCATATTTTACAAAGACGCGAGTATTTGGATCATGGCTACTAGCAGGGGGTGCATTCGGCAGGGGTGCATTCTACGACACAACACCGGCGTGGATAAGTCCTGCTTCTCGTGCTTAGTTTGTGTATTAAGTCAATCACATGATAATTAAAAAAAAATAAATCTCCCGACCCCGGGAGAAATATTTAAGTGTTCAGACACCAGGCTGTGGGCAGTTTCCCACACAGTTAAAACTGGTAGTATGCTATTCCCACCTAAAGCTATTCTGTTTATTTATATATTTGTTTGTTTTGTTTATTTTCATCAAAAGACTATTTAAATATTTATTTATCAGATTTTCTGGTCACTTTAGTCTTTATGTTTGTCAGTATTTACTGACGTCACTCAGGCCACTTAAGTTGATTTCTTTTTTTTTTTAGTTCTTTTTTAAAAAAAACTTTCAGTTGTGGTAAAATGAAAAGGTGGTTGAATAAAGGTTTGAATTTGAATTCAGTGCTTGTGTGTTCTTTATTAAAAGTAGGTCATTAAGCAATAGCATAAAACATCCAGGGCTGCAATTAAAATATATGTTAAATAATTATAATAATTATATCAATAATTATCGATATCGATCAATATGATTTATTTTTTATCGATATGCTTTTTTTCTATATCGTCCATGGTGATTCAGAATATGGTCACCCTATCTTATTGATATTTTTTGTTGTTGCTGAGTCCATCCTGGATACTTTATCTAAATGAAAACTTCAGCTTAGGGGTTAAAGCGTGCACCACATGTATAGAGCTTCAGTTTTCATCGCTGCTTTCTCAGGTTCAACTCCCTGTTGTTACACTTTATTGCACCTCATCCTCCACTCTACACTTTCAGCATTGCTCGCCTCTCTTCAGCTGCTCCCTCAATAACAGAAAATACCCTGAAAGTGTACTCGAGACAGAAAACTAATGTTGAATCTCTGAATTTATACGTTTTTACATCCAGATGTCAGTAACTGTATAAAAACATACATTTGTAAAGCTTCACTGCAGCTGGCAGGGATGCTGTTGAGAGGTTAAATTTGATTGAAACAGTGAAGTTAGAGGCCCATAAAACCAAAATGATGAACCGAAAGGATTGACAACTACTGTGCGGGAGTTTTAACTCAAAATCAAGTAAAACGGCCAAACTGCACGGCTATTTTTAATGAGGGCGGTTACGCTGTCCCTACCGTATCTTCATATTTCTTTCTTCTGTCTGGTTCAGCTGTATAGCTCTACATACACAGTCACACGAAAACACACACTCTCTGTAATGTATGTGGAACAGTTTTGTCTTGCTTGGTGGACATCAAGCTGGCAATTTAGTCCTTATAGCATGCAGATGGTTGGTGTCACTCCAAGGTAAACCTCTGCTCTGCCAGACAGAGTGCATACTACCTGCCAGCAGCCTCCGCTCTATCATGGTCTAGTAGGATCCACCAACCCTGCACAGCTAGTAGGCGTCTGCCTAGCAAATCCGTACACACAGTCTAGTTCCTGTTGTTCCTGTGTCCTCAAACGGCTAGAGATGAGTATAAACAAAGCCCAGAATTCCAGCTGTTTATTGTTACAGGTACATGCAGTCAAGGCCTAGCGACAGGGGTGAGAACGCCTCTGTTTATTTTATATCCAGTTCTGAAGTGTGCCTGGAGACACACCGAACAGGATGAATAACACATTTAGGAGGAAAGAAAAGACAAAAAGCAAAATAATCAACACTGGAGCAGAAAGACGGAGGGGGTGTGTGGAGGGAATCTTGGCCGAATTTTGCAACAGCAGCACAAAATTGCGAGACCGAAATGTTAGTAGAAACATGTCCTTTCAGTGCTTTATGAAAAAATATTTAAGAACTGGGAGAAATGGAGGGGAAGAAAGGCGAAACGGCTTTGTTTTTGTCTATGAGAGCTAAAATGTTTGCCTAGGCGGAGTGCCAGCGCGGAGGACAGCCTGCTGCAGTTCTCCTGTTCTGGTGGGCCCTGAAGCAGAGGTCAGTTAAGACTGCTGAAATCAAATCCAGTGTCTCCCACCCACAACAACAATGTGGCAGAATGGCCCAGGGGTAATGACATGATTATGTTGTTGTGTTCTGGGCTAAATCTAACAAGAAGTTCAGGCCCGGCCCTCACTGTCTCTCTAGATTACAGAGACATGCGAGGTCTGTCTGAGCGAAAGCCAGGTGCCTTATCCTATCGCCTTGTGTGGCACAGAAACCGCTGAATTCGCAGAACTTCGGCAAGTCTTGGCAGTCCGGCGTTCTCGAGGATATCTCGTATCCCCTTTCGTGTTTGAGACCTGTTCGACATCTCTGTCAAACAGCCGCGCAGCGCAGACCTGATGACAAAAGCAGACTACTACTCCATGATGCTGAAGGACCTTTTTTTTTTTTTTTTTAAATGAGATTGTTCCTGCACAATGCAAATTCAGCAACTCTGACACTCTCCAGCCAAGCTCTTATGAAACAAAACCAAATCCTATTTAAGACTTGGTTACACATCTGCTGAGAGCAACATGAAATTTAACTCCACATTTGAGGTTATCTTGAGCAAATAGGAGATAAACCTTAATGAGGGCTAAAGTCTACAGTTGATACAAAGCTGTGTGAAATGTTAAACTGATGCAGGACCTTGCTTAATCAGAGTGAGCCATGGTTTTCAGATGGTATTTAGATATGTAAAGCTAACAAATGAGGCTTTGCTATGATAGTGGCAGGCTCTTAATGTTATTTCAGCAGCCAAGTCTGCTTCTTTCTAGTGGTTAGAGGAGCTTAGACAGTTTCCTCAGGCATGGACTACGCATATTTGGGTATGCACATTTTCGTCGAAGCGTGTAATTGCGATATTATTGCCATGAAATATTAGTATGCAAGGTCCACAGATTCAGAAATGTGACATGGCAGCAGTTTGTCTTCGAAATAACGCGTGCCTTAAATTTAAAATTGAAGTCTCATTTAGCTGCATGACTGGATCCTCTTAAAAGCCGCGCACACGACTCAACCACAGTGTTCATTTGGACAAACAAATTAAGATAATTCCCAATGACTGTTATCAGTTATCAGATTGAGACTACCTACAACCACCTATGTAAACTCAGGCCCAAATTCTGGGCACATAACCGTTTTTGTAGATTAAATCTACACTCGGCGGTTTAGCCTCTATTTGTCCTTTTCCCGTTTTCCTACCACCCCACACACCTCTCAGCTCCACATCAAGGAATGCATTTTTTCAGTCACGCCCCTACAATCCTGACAGGTAGCGACTGCATGAGAGGACAGCTTGTCCTGCGGAGCTACGCAGGGGCTGCAGGGGCCCATGTTTGGCTTGGATGCCAATGAATAACATTGTATGGAGAGAGGAAATTAAAAATGCAGAGTTGTAATTTACTGGAGAGTGGAACTGATTTAAAAGCGGGGTTTTTTTTCTCCTCCTCGCCGCTTTGCTTGAAGTTTTCCAAATATGCCACAGCTGAGTGTGAACTGAGCTTCGTTGTACAGGCAATAACAGGGCAGGCCACGCTGCCAGCTCTCTCCACTGTGCCCCCTCTTCTCTGTTAATTCTTGGCAAAGACAGGATCATGGTAAGGTAAGCCTTCATGAGATCCAAATGCTAGACATGCCTAACTGATTTCACATCTCAAGTTGAACGCAGCTTTATGCTATCAGGAGAAACGGAGAGGCATTTCCCCCCACGGTTAATCCGCGAGTGTGTGCGCCAAGGCGATGACTGATAGCATGAGCAACATTTTTCTGATTATTGGTCTCATAGTGGGCATGGGCTGCCTGCTTGTGGTCTCTGTGGGTGGTTCCCTGGTGGGACGCAGGTAACAACAGATTAATGGAGTAATGAATCTAACTTTACGAGGCAATCTGGCCCCCATGAAATTGAAACGCCTGCCTTTTGTTGCCCAATTCAAGAGTTCCCCCGAATCATAAAAAAGAGAAACGGCAGCATTTTTTTGTTTCTGCTCTTTTATCTCCAACGTTTTGTCAGGAGTAATTCCGACATCAACCAACGGCAATGTCAGAATCACTGATTTGGACTAAGTACCCAACCCTGGCTAGCTGCTGAGTTAAAGGAAACTGCACTTGGATATTTTTTTTACAGCCTTCTCCCTTTATAAAACCTCAAATTTGCTGCTGGGTAACTCAACCACTTCCTCTCTTCCTGTGAGATCAGGCAGTCAGGCAGGGTGAAGCCAAGCAGTGCAGGGGCTTCTGTGGCTAGCAAACAGCTGGCACGGTACTCACTATACCTTTGGCACCTGTGGGTGGGCGTCAACACAGTTGGCTAAACAAACAAGACCATCATCCAGCTCTCACCGCAGCCGTGAACGAGGGGGATGGCATCAGAGCGCCACCTAAAGCTTCGGAGGGCTGGAACAAGACATAGAAGTAGACTATTTCACAAGCTGACATGTCAGGACTGGGGTCTGCAGGTTTAAAAAGTAGATGATTAGTAGTATTTTTGTGTTATTTCTATTGTTTTGCCAGGAGTCAGATGTGATAGTTTCCCTTTTGGTTTCAGTCCTGCTGCTCTCCTGCAGATGGCGATGTTGTCCTGAACTGAGCGGTGTCTAAGCAGTGCCAAAGCCTCTCTATGTGTGAGGCCTTTTTCCTAATTGGTGACTTTTAACAAGCCTATGTAAATATCACCATGTCTCCATCTCTTATCCACTCCTGGCCTGGAGCCTGATATCAAACACTTTGTCACATGATGTTTGAAAATGAGGAGACGGAGGTGACGGGTCAGGGTGAGATTGGGGATTTTTATTTTGGTCTGAGGTGTGGCCAGCTTTCAGAGCTTTTTTCACCCGAGTAAGTTTCTCTCAGAGGGTCCACATCCAGCGACAGAAAGGTAAACTAGATGAATGAAGTGGCGACTGATCTGTTTGCCTAAAACAAACTCAAACTGGAAATGTGCCTTAGTTACGGTCACATGGTAGACGTTAGGGCTGCTGGGGCGCACACCATCACCACCGGCGGAATTTTCCTAAAACAAGACACGAAAATTTGAGGGCCAGATAGACAGAATCGAAACGGGTGAGGAGAGAAGGGGACCCTCCAGAGAGGAGTGAAACTTTCCAAAGGTTGACTGTGTTTATGTGCGGCTGGCAGGGCCTAAAATTGAGTGAAGGGTGCCGGGGAAAACAGACTTGTCGCAGCATCTCACATATCATCACAGCCTGTCCTTATTACTATCAGTTCATCTTCTACCTCTCTCAGTGCCTCCCTCTCTCAGTCCCGCCTTTGCTCTTCTTTTCTCACACCCCAAATGTGCTGATGTGCATCCTGGAAAGGAAGGCACGAAAAAGGCCTGGAGGGCACGCCTGGGAAGAAGCCAGACTTCCCACTTTATCCCCCCTATTCACAACCTCCCCCATGATGACACAGCTTTTCTTTTCCTTGACATGAGCCCAGAACAATAGTGGACAAAGCTGAATCACTACAATAATAGCTCGTTTCACTGCGGCTAGAATAGAGCTGTAAGTGGAAAGATCTGCATCAGAGTATTTTTTGTTTTTTGACAGACGTTCATTTATGTTGAATAAACTTGATTTACATTGATAGATCACTTTAAAGATAGGCAAACCTTTCCATGACTTTCATACAAAGGCCACAGTGTATCTTATGTCACCATCGCCTCATCTCCATCAGCACACAGACGTTTACTCTTCAGCTCTCGGCCTCCGGTATGACAGGCACACTTGGAACTTTTGTATATGATAAACTATGTGATAGGTGACCCCCACCAACCCCCTCTCCACCTTTTCCTCTTTCTTCTACCTCTTCACATGCCCTTATTTCTCTCCTCTTCTCGGATTTCTCCCTCTTCCCTTCAAGCGTCCCCCCCAGCCTCAAACCCAAGCTGCTGGCTGTCTGCCCACAGTCCAGGATGTGAGTGCCCAGTGACGCTGTGTGATCCCCGGGGATGGGGAACCAGCAAGGGGGGCTGCTGATGGTGGTCAAACACTGAATGAGCTGAGCGGCCGCAGGAGAAACCACAGTGTGCGTTCGTGTGTTGTAGCGTGTGCGTTGGTGCGAACCCTGATCCCGTGGGTCAACATACTGTGTCCTGCAGATCTAATAATGGCCGAGCACACACTCACACACTCACATTGTGTTTTTGGGGTCTGTTCAACAGCTCACACGCATTAACCCGGGCAGCGCTGTTGAAAGCATTATATGCCCAGTAACTCTGAAAAGTGAGCCATTTGTTAGAAGAAGCTGTCATAAAGAGATTCCCTCATCTAATAATGAGGTTTGTTAAGTTTGGCCAAACAAGGCCACGGCTGCACACTGCGGTGAAGCTTGACCACTAAGCCGAACACTAGAGGGACAAGTGCACAATCAAAGCCGAAAAGGGTCTTGACTTGTAATGAACTGTGCTGTGGGGACCTGTTAGTTCTTGCTCTGGCTTAGAGCTTTGAAACCAATGAGACAAAGTGTATTAACTTAGGGCTGGCCGATAAACCGAAAATTTACTGATACCGAAATTTATGACAGGAACCAACATCATTTTGCCTATATCAGGGTTTTTTCTATTTCTTTTTTTACTATTTTTACTTAAACAAGAAGAGTACAAGATAAACAAAGATAGATACAAAAAAAGTATATAAACAATATTAAAAATCCCAAAAACAAGGATAAGGCAGGGCATGGGGGGATGAATAAATAAAAGTTTGTTTTGGATGTGTGTAGGTAGGATATGGTCTCATGTCCCTTTTAAGTCAGAGACATGACGCCACCCCCTCCAGTCAGTAACAAAGAGGGAAAGACAGGTGAGGAGATGGAGGACAGTTCAAAAGTTGTAGCGGCTGGAGCGGTGGCTAAAGTAGGTGACGTTAATGTGGTAGGGGGTTAGCAGCTTGTGGAGTAGTTTTTGTCCATTTATCGTTATCCAGGTAAACTGCTCAATATATCATGATATTGATTTGAGGCCATATCGTCCAGCCCTATAACAGATAATCCTAAACTGATACTCTATAAACTCTTGTATGTGTTCCCTTACATGGAAAATATAGTTTTCAGTGGAAATCTAAACTTGTTTAAAATTAAATAAAAGGGCTTTTTTAGATTTGTGTATTTACATCCAATCTAGATAAGAAATCTTTCATAAAAAATCAACAGAATCAGTGTAGAGATTTCCAAGAAACACAACCCTTTATGCAGAGTTGTAGGAGGTTTTTCTGTATTTTATGATCATGGCTCGGTAGATCCTGAGCTTGGAGGTGATAATTCGAAACCACATACTATGAAATCAATGCAAGTTATAGACATTCATTCACCGCTTTTACAACAGCTTTTAGATACCATAACCACACATCCATGTTTACAGTGGATTTGTCCTGCTGGTGGAAGTGAGAATGAGAGAAAATTTACAGATATCAGCTTTCGTTTTGTTGTTAAATCGTGCGAGTGTGTGTTTTGTGTTGCTCTGATGCGAAAAATATGTGGATTTTAGCAAACACACTGCTCTGATATTTTTAGAGGTTTGTGTGCGCTTTCGAAGTGATGTGTGAGTGATTTGACTCCCTGTAAACGACTGCAGGGCTGTTGACTTGTAAAAACTACGTTATGAGTGTCGTTGGGGAGAAAAGGCTTTGTTAGCAAGCTGTTGCTGTCCATGTTCAACCCTTGAACATGTAGAGAGTTCAGAGTGAGAGGAATTTTATCGCCAGTTGAATAAATTATATATTAAATTTTCAGATTGAATGGCAATTTTATCCAAAGATTTATGAATATTTGCAAATGGGTCAGAGCTGCAACTATTTCAGTTGCATAAGCTCCCAACCTTAAAAATAGATTTCAATATTTAAGGAGCTGCAATTACTTGTTGTGGTGCAGCCTCTTTTCCATTGCCCTGCAGTAACTGGTGGTTGATGAGAAATTTCTGCTAAGACTTGCAGTGTTATATCACTCAAGAGCATCATGCGCCACTTAGCAGGCATCAGGAATCAGTCTTCCAAATTCAAGCTCACATAACCGATCAAGTTTATCAGTCAGTGCTGATTTGGGGGTGGTTGATATAAGCCTTCAGTCACTCTCTTTTACCTGGTCTCAATGGCATGTGACACAGAGATTACAAGTGAAAAAAAAAAAAAAAAGAGCTGAAGAGAGAATGAGGCGAATAACGGTATTTCGTTTGTAGATGTGGTGGATGTAGATGCACCAGTAGCAAAATAGGTGCACAGTTCTTGGAGAGTGGCTGAAAAATGTCATTTGGTTATAAAAATGGCACAATAAACTGTTTTCATTGTATAGACTGTGGGACTGAGGTTGCAGGTAACATAACATTTGCAACAGATCCAGGCATTATGTTTCTCTTTTTAGCATTCCTAATTTAGAGTTAATTCTGTCATAGAAAAATTAGAGAGGTCATGGAATTTGGAAGATGTCATTTCCAGGCATGGGAAGGTTTTGGAAAGGTTTGGAAAAGTCCTAAACCCAGAAAGTATAAGGACAGTCATGGAAAGTATTTGTATAAAGAATGTATGTAATTGAGTTGAGGTTGACTGAGAAACTTTATACTGGTGTAACAATGTTGTAATGGCATATCAACAGGCCTCTACCTTCTCCCTGTCGTAAAAAAGCCCAAATACCACCTCGGCTGGCACTGACATGGCATGAGTATTCACCTGCATGTGCATACACATGCTGCATTGTTCGACATCAAGTCTCACCAGGATGCTTAAAGATTTACCACAAAACATGCATGTTTTCAAGGTGCTTGCAGGGATATTAGGCAAGGCGAGTTTATTTGTATAGCACCATTCATACACAAGGCAATTCAAAATGCTTTACAAATGCAAGGAAATACATAGAAAAATGAAAAAAGGAGAGATTAAAACAATTTACAATCAAAAAGACATAAAATGATTTAAAATCAATACGACAAACTGATATTTTTTTCTTTTTACGTCTGTTCCATGTTTGCCCTGAACATCTCAGAAAAATTAGATAAGTCACAAGCTTTCAGGCTCCCCAGATGTCAACTGGTTTTCTCAACCGCAAATGCAAGTGAGAATTCCAAATTCAAATTCAACTTTATTTTTATGGCCCTTTTCAGACAAAAAATGCAGTTCAAAGTGTCTCACAGAGGCTAAAAACAACAATTAACAACAATAAAATCCAACCCTCCCACCCACACACACACCCATGGACCCACATGCACACAAAGGCACACACCCACAAACACACAAGCGCACACACACACACAACCGCACACAACTGCACATAATGTGAGCGTTTAAGATATATTGTTAGAGAGACATGGTCTGACACCGAGACATTATGTGAGGGAAGAGCTACCTTTGGGAAACACTGGAGATAAAAGATAAAAATGGTGAAAGGAAAGACTAAAACCTAAAGGACTAAAACACCATTTTAAAAAGGGGTAAAAGAAGTAAAAACCTCCAAGAACAGAGGTAATTAATAAAGTGACATAAAATAAACAATAAGAACTTTGATTAAAATGAACATTTGCAATAAAAGAAATATAAAAATGCAATTGGTAAAAAGCCTGGTGAGTCTTGAGCCTCTTCTTAAAAACATCAACGGTCACTATGGCTTGACAGCTTGTTTGACATGTAAAAAAATTGAGGAGAAGACAGAAACAAGCTCAAACTGTAAGAGACATCTATCTAAAATACACCCAGATAAGTAGTGGAAATATTAAATTACTTGGACAGTTGATATTGTTGCTGTTAGCTAGCTGCCAGCCAATGTAAGGGGTTCAGGAGAGACGTGCTGCAATAACAGATCATTTGTAAAACGTAGAAATAGTGAGTTATTTCGTCATTATTCTTAAAATCTTATTAAATACTGACTAACACAATCACATTCAGCATATTTCTTATAACCAGAAAGCCCAAAATATTTATAATATGAATGAGTATTGAGATTATCTATTCATCCCAAAATCAACACAAGTCTCAATCAAATGAAGAATAACTGGTCGTCTTGGCGCTTCACTCTCTTCCTCTGTATAGTCAGCATCGGTTCACGATGGTTTGACAGTAACCGCTAAAGAGTCAAACACAGTCCCCCTTTTCTCCTGTGTCAACACCCCTAATCTTGGGGGTTGGTTGTGGAGGGGTAGCGCCGGTGGTTTGACCTCTTGTTGTATTAGTCCTGACAGGTTTTAACAGGATTAGAACCCCTCAGCCCGCTTTGGAAGAACAACAGAGAGAAAGTGGGAGAAATCAGGATACAGAGAGGTTGTGCTTGTCATAATACACGTGTGCGAAGTCGACTGGGTTAAAGTTTGACACACCAAAGGCCTGGTAGGAGTTTGTGTGAGTATGTATAGTATGTATGCATTCATGTGTACAGAAGTTTCGGCAGAATGTGGTGAACAGACACTCACATGCTGTTTGTTTTTATAATTGCGTTGTGGGACGCCATCGCCTCCCTGCCCCTGCTCCCAAATGTCAAACAAGATTATTTGGGTTGCCCTCTTCTCTTCTTAAGTTCTGACGACTGAGCGGTATAAAAAATGACTAAGCCTATAGCTTCCCCAAGTGACTCACAAACGCACAAAGAGAGTCCAATTGCACGCACATTCAAAACCTAACCGAGACTAAATTTTAACCCCAATCCAAAACAGAAATAAAGACGCGAAACCATAACAAATGGAGTTTTTGAAAACAAAGGATCCACTATTTTCAGTACAAACATATGCAGGAAAGACTGTTCCTCTTCTTCAATGACCGAAACAAAGACTCCTTAAAAATATTCTGCTTTGGTTTTGAGTTTGCCGAAAGAAATTGGATTGGGGTTCAAAGCTCTTTCACTGAAGGTCTTCCCAGTACAACAAGAACCATGCAGCTTGAGAAATAGCACATGGCCGGAGAAAAGAAAACATACTAAGTGTGTGATTAAAAGTGTGGCTGGTTAATGTACTAGAAATCCATGAATGTGCACAGGCTTGTGTAAGTTTGGAGTAAGTTAATAATCTCAGCAGGTTCCTGGTGTTTACAGGTTGAAGCCTCCTGAAAGGCTCTTCAAGGGCAGGACTTGATATATACGGCCTGTTGATTTATTTATGATAATCTGGAAAGTGCATCATGTGCGCTCACTATTGAAAGCAGCGGGCCGTAGTTTAGAGGCCAAATTCATTCGCAAGCGTACTTTTCCAGGCCAGGAGCAAAGTGAGGGTGATCAAAACGCATGATTTAAGACAGGGGGACATCAACACCACCAGGAAGAGATGAAGCCCAACTCTGAGCGTACAGTAAGAAGTCTCGGGGTTGGATGTGTTTGTGTTTGTAGTTCAGGTTAATTTTAAACTCCACTCTGTGACAGGTTTGAAAAATTTCGCTGAAAAATATCCCACCGTAGAGAGTTGACATGTGACACATTACCCCCAGTCAGCCATAAATGAAGTCGCATCCTATTAGCCCTCCCCGGAGATGGATCTTTTTCCTCAGTTTGTGTGTGTTGGTTGGCTCGCTGTGGTGCTAAGTCAGAGTCCAGACACCTGGAGAGAGGGGAGCATGAAAGAGGGTTAGAAGCGCAGTTGTTACAGTGCGGGGAGAGGGGAGTGTAAAGGAGGATAGAGAATGAAAAGTCTGCAAGAAGTTGTAGCTGTAAATCAGCCTTTTTTTCCAGTCTGAGAAAGGCAGAGAATCTGTGCGCATGATTTATTGAGCCTTTAAAACCCAGGGAGGTGGCATTTCACACGGCAAAGAGTTACAAATAGAAGGGCATTAACCTCTACCTGAGGCTGTCAGACGATACAGCTCTCCCCTTTACAAAGAGAAACACCTCCAGGACTGAGAAATGAGCTCCAGAAGTTATAACCGCCTGTAAAAGTGCGATTTTCTATACAGTCAGCGGTAGAAAAAAGGGCTTCACGCAGCGCTCTGTCATCACCTGTTTGGTTAAGATGTGCCTTTTTTCTTTAGGGGCTGTTGGACAGGTTTCTCGACCTTTTATGTCAGCTTCCTCGGCATATTTCATCCTGCTGAGGGTAGATGTCCTCATGAAAATTAAAAATCTGCAGAGCTAAAACGGCCTGTGTGTTCCTAATGATGAAATGAGGCGACGGAGAAACAGCAACAAAAGTGAAAGTGATAAATTCAACAGCTACGCTGTGAAAACACATCAAACTGAAAATCTCTTTTCCAAACATTCCAGGATCATTTGAGCACCTTTGCATTTATTTGTTTTTTAATTCCTACTCATGCATTTTAATAGATCCATTACCTATAAATATCCGTACATGCACAGGGACGTATCCTTACCGGGGACCAAAAATAACAAGCCCAGGAAGGCTCAGATAGAAGGGGCTGTGTGTTCATTATGATATGCTGCCTTCAATTGCCACATTAATTAAGCAGCTCCAGGCAGCAGTGGCAGGATGACGGACAGGCCAAGTCACTGGAGGCCTGTCTGATAGTCTGCCAACTCAAGGCCTTGCTGTCCGGACGCTGATTTATGGACAGAGCCAGGAATCGGAAAAGTGTCCAGGAGCCATATTTTTAGTGGGTGGTAGTGCTGTGCACATGTGCAGGGGCTCGAGCCAACCCCGTGGGACCCCATTCATCTCTCATCACTGCCATGTCGATAACATCCTCCTCTATATGATACACACATCCCAGTTTGCACACACACACACACTCTGAGGGACCAGGTCTGCTTCCTACAAGTGGAGTCACATAAATACACAGACTTTGTTTAGATGACACCAGGTCCACGGTGGAGTCTTTTTGTAACCCTTTTGTGAGTTTGTGATTCGCGGATGTTTAACAGGAAGTTATTGAGCAGTGTATAAAGCCCGGTTTCCTTCCTGCTCAGACAGCAGTGTAATTTTGGTGGTGTTTTAACAGCTCCACAGCTCCCTCTGTTTGGCCTCTTTTCCTCGATATTTCTTCCTCATGCCTCCCTCGAATCCATCGTAATCCCCACTTGTGCTAAGTTAAAGAGAGGAGAGGCCGTTTTCGTGCCAGCTGTCCCTTGATGTATTCTGGTCATCAACTGCACATGTGCGAATAATGCTTTTCTGCACTCATTTGAATATCAGAATGGCTGATTATGACGGTGGCATGCGTGAGCACAACCCTTCAGGACCAGAGACGAAAGAAAGGATGGAAAGATGAAAGGAGGCTGAAGTTAAAAGCTTTGAGCCTGGCATATCACACATACACGGGCCTTAAGAACTCAGTAAACAATGTTAATAAGATGGTTAGGATATTCAGCAGGAGAGTCCAGATAAATAATTGAATAAACGACCACAGGCTCATAGTCTACACTCGTTTTTTAAATCTGTGTATCAGTTTATTCTTCGGGACTCCTAGAATACACTTAAGGCCTTAGGGATTGCACGACTTCTGTGCCTACTTAACCTGTGCAAATGAGCCACAAAAGAAATTGTTCACAAAGTGTGCGGCAGAAAAAAATAACATCTGTGTACCCAGTGCTATTTGCATTCATTTCAAATTAGCTATTGTGCATCCATTTGAGGCAAAACGTGCCCTTTTCTTTACAAATAAGCCTCATTGCAAAAAAAAAACACCTTGTACACAGGAACTTTTATGTCTGCTAAGAGATGGTAGGAAAATTGTTAATATTTACAAATTTTCTGGTGATAAATTCCACGTCAAGATGACCTAAAAATCTCATATCTGTACAAGACAATCTACTTTGACTTAACTGTTTCTATGATAATCGGCTTCAGGAAGAAATGTGGGTATAAACACTAAAAGCAGTGTTGTTTTCATTGACGATGACGTTGATGAAATATTTTCGTCAACGTCGTCAACAAAAACAACACTGGTGCTGCGAGATAACCACAATAAACAGTTCCTCAGGGTCAATAACAGTTTTTAATTCCGCTCTCTTCTCCTACTCTTCTCTTCACTCTGTGCAGCTGAACTGTCAGGATGCTAAATGCTAACCTTACCCGGCTGACAGTCTGTTGAGCACAAGATGTTTAGTGTTTGACTGACGAAATACTCATGAATTTTGCAACTCTGTTCATCGTACACCACGAACGTTTTCGTCTAGTCTTGTCAACATAAACGCACATTCGTCTCGTCACATTTTAGTCGTCCAAGACTTATGTTTAGCTCGTCAACGTCACATCTTCGTTGTGGAAAAAAAGGGGCACTGACTAAAAGAAATCTGTTGGTGTTTTTGTGCTTGCATACAATTCACTCTATTTGCTTTGAATTAAAGAGAGAACAAATCTTGGTGCTATTAGCAGCAGAAATCCATCCCTGATGAATCAGGCCTTGAGTGTTTGGCAGTATATAATTTGGCTTTATTCTTTCAGTGTGCTAAGGAGTAGGAAACTATTTCAATGATTGTCTGGTCAGTTTTTTTTATGTCACACAGTTGCTGGTGTACTGTACATCCTGGTGAGTCCACGCTTCCTCAAACTCATCTACTTTATATATCTTTAAGTATTAAGATTTCCATTTCATACCCAACTTACGTCATCAACAAGCGCACGACTTTGCAGCTCATGGCACTCAAGTGATATGCACTTCAGCTCATTCTTTTTGCTGTATCTGTGCAGCGATATTAAACCAAACTTGTTGTTTCTGCAGCGATGGCTTTGTAATGAAAAGAAGCTGATTGGAAGCAGTGTTTCCCACAGATTGAGACTTGAGTTGATGTGAAGTGGCATCTACCACCATGAGTGGATTATGAGCAAATTCAAGATTGTGAGATGTTTACATGAGCTTGTTTTCATTGCAAACCAATTACAATTGAATATGAAGAAGTGTTGACATCAATAATTATTGGGAAACGAATTACAACAGATGCGTCAGGATAACTCCATACTGGAGAACTGAACGGACAAAGAGCAGGCTGTAACACAACAATCAAAAACATGCACACTATTGGAACCCATTATCAAAATCTTACATAACATTAAGGGATCAACAGCACACTAGGATCCAGAAGTGCACTGTGGACAGGGATGTCTGGAGAGGTTCAAAACTAGAGAAAAAACAACGGTTGGGTCAACCAAGGTGCTACTCCAAAATCTTGGCTTATGGTTGACAATTTTCCTTGTCAGAAGTGGGATTTATATTAAAAACAATTATTTAAACTGTGTTCCAACAAGCTGCTGTATGTTTCCAATGCATTTATCTTTGACAGACTCTCTTCAAAAGGTTGCAGCCTACTGTAAAATGTTATTTGGCATATATAGTCTATGCCTTTTAGTAGGGCTGGGAGGATATGCTTTTTTCCTGATTCGATTTTTCTACAGTTTTTTGGATGCCAATTCGATTTAAATTGCAGTTCTACGATATGATCGATTTTCTCGATCTTTAGTCTGCATTTTTTACACCAGTAAAACAGTTGAATGATTATGATTGTCTACAGACTATTTCAGGAACCATGTTTCCCCAAAAAATACACATCACATGTGAGTCATTTTTTAAGATTTATTCTTAAATTTGAAAAAATCGATTTTTGAACATAAAATCGATTTACATTGTAAAACAAAAAATCGCGCCACTAATTTACAAATCGATTTTTATCTCCCAACCCTACCTATTAGGGCTGGGCGATATGGCCTGAAATCAATATCACGATATATTGAGCAGTTCACCTCAATAACGATAAATGGACGATAACTACTCCACAAGCTGCTCACCCCCTCCCACATTAACTTCATCTACTTCAGCTGCTGCTCCAGCCACTACAACTTTTGAACCATCCTCCATCTCCTCACCTGTCTTTCCCTCTTTGTTACAAACTGGATAGGGTGGAGTCACGTCTCTGACGTAGGACAGCATCTTAAAGGGACATGGGACCATAGCCTACCTACACACATCTGAAACCAACTTTTATGTATTTATTTTTTTGACATCAGTAATTGTCGTAAATTTCGGTATCTGTAAATTTTCGGTTTATCGCCCAGCCCTAATGCCTACGCACCAGATGAAGCAGGGCCTTACTTTCCCTCTTATTTATAAAACTATACACAGTAGTAAAGGCAGTATCTACAGGTGGACTTCTAGCACCGTGATTTCTTATTAATAAAATCTTAAAAGACTGACCTTTGTCACACATTGCCTATAATGTCTTCAAAAGACAAAAAAAGGAGGCCGAATTATATGTTTCGCAGCACTACATTTATCATGCTAAATCAACATTTGGGAGTCATCTGATCTCAACGTATAGAGAAAACAGAATGGTAATGTTGCGGTGATCGAAACACGCTGCATTTTTCATCAGTGTCAGATAGCTGCAAGTGACAGGAGGCTGGAAACTGGCGGGAGCACTTGGCTCTGTCACTGCACAGTAATGGCCAGATGAAATGTATTCATGCATGCGGATCTGCTGCTGCTGGTTCTGCTCACAATATGTTGCTAAACCAGATGCTGTTTGCTTGTATTTGATTTCCCCTTTCCACCTCTTGAAAACAAAAATGAAAAATGTAACCTAAATAAAAGTCAAGATAAATGATAACAAATACTTGCTAGCGCACAAATACTTGCTACTGAAGATATACATCTCACATTAATGGTGGAGCATGTGGTACCAGGCTGCTTTGGAAAATAGTAACTGCTTGAGTTTCTTTTACACAAACATGGAGCAAAATTCAAATAAAATAATTTTTGCCAAGCCCAATTTAAATAAACCATGTTGATGCGATATCAGAATAAGCCAAAGATCTAATTGAACCCAGCTCTCATATTGACAAATGAACACAAAAAAGGATGCTGACTTTATTTCATTTGCCACTGGGATGGTGCCTCTTTAAGATTGAAAACCGCAAATTGCTCTCAACAATTCCTATACCTCTGGAGTTGACCACTTTAAAATTGGCCCGTTCAGAGATTATAAATAAGGCTATTTGATGGCTCTGTTATTACGCCTGAGAGAGGGGGGAGAGGGGGAGAGGAGAGGGGAGGGCTTGTGGCTGTAAGGCCGGATGGTTTCTCTTGATGTGGGCGAGAGCTTTGAGCTTCCACACCACACGCTTCTGTGCTCTGCAACAGGAAAAACACAGGAGATCACTTCCAAATGAAAATGCACACACACACTCACACACACACACACACACACACACACACACACACCCTCCATATGCAGACGATGGAGCGAAGTGATACAGAAAATAAACAGCTTGTTCCTCTATGCCGCACAATGCAATAAGTGTTAAACTGATGACAACACAGCCTCGCCTCCAAAATAGAAGCTCTATAAATTATGTTTACATTTAACCAAAATGCGCCCCGCTGATCTAATAGTCCTGAATGATTGATTTGGCTTTTTTATTGAACCCTTGAACTCCGACAGAGACAAATTTAATTCCTGCCTTCATTAAAAGACAGTTAAGTTCGGCATCTTTATCCTCGGTTTACCTAAAATGAGTCACCCTCTCTTTTTAGTCATAAGGCACATATGTATTTTGTTAAAGCGTATTTTGTCTTTCTATTTGTGTCTTCAGAGCACACACGCATGCGTGGGTATGGGAGTTACATTAGGCCACAACAGCAAAGGCCAGCAGGAGGCTTGTATGCATCATAAGTCTTTATTGTCCCTGGTGAGCAGCATTTCCAGTAAACAGGGCCGTTACGGTGGCAAAGTTCCCCATTTATGTTTGTGTGCTACGAGGTCAAGAGTGGAGTCTCGCAGTCAAACGGTGAATGGCAAAAAAGTAAATCCCGCAGCAGGAATCCTTAACAATCTCGTTTTAACAAGAACCTTGGCTTGTTTTCTCTCTCCCCCTTCTTCCTCTCCGATCCTTTTGCATCTGGCCAACTCACCAGTACACACACACACACACACACATCTCTCCCCCTCTTCCCCTTGCTGCGGGTAGCTGCTGCTAGGCTGACTCAGCCCATCCGCACTATTCTTGGGCCCTGACGAACGGTGTTGATGTAGCCTGTCTGATGGCCACACGCCATAAACCAGTCTTTGTTCCGCTGGCCACTTCTGCTGAGCCGCTCGCCCTCGACTCTCCTCCCAGAGCTGCCGCTTGACCGACCAACCGACCAATTGATGAAGCGTAAGCAAACCGCTTAAGATCAACAAAAGGAGTTTATCTTTCACTAAGAGAGTGGGCCACAGTAGTGAAATGTGATACCCCTGACTACTGCAGAGGCCTAACATAAAAATAAAAATGACCGCAAGTATCCCACTGTGTTCCCGTGGCCTTTTGGGTCAAGAGGATGTGTGAGGATGTGCTTTATTGGTAGCCTGGGGGCGATGAAAACCATTAATCACTTAATTTGCTTGGACACCAGAGAAATTGGGCTTAATCCAAAATTTCCTGGGACAGAGAGAAACTTTAGTACCTCTGAGCGAGGCCTAAGAGGTCTGAGAGTAAATAAGAGGGTTGATCTTTGCCATCACTTTGTAATGTGGTTTATTATCAGACACACACGCATTCGACAGTTCTCACGACCGCAGTCTTAACACTCAAACACACGGCTACCCATCTTGGAGCTTTTACCCCCTCTTACTTTCAGTGTCTCTTTCTCACAGGGGGCAATATTCCTCATTCCTTAAATCCAGTCAAATAAATATGGTAATAAACACGGGGCGAGAGGAACGGTTAGGCATGTGCAAACTGCCTGTCTACCCTGTCGTCCATTAAGATGTGAGATAAATTCAAAGCATGTCTGATATTAGCGTGCGGCGGTAGGACTCAAACTCAAACCATCTGTCAGTGTGTAATCACGCAACACGCAGAGCGAGGGAAGGGTGAAAGGTATAACCATCGCCGTGGAAAGGCACACGCTGCTTATTACGGGTGTTGAGAGAGACAAAAAAGGGGACTGCGGCACCCCTGAATACGGCGAAACCATCATCATATTATCACGTCTGATAGGGAAGCTCACAAAAGGGACAAAGAGACCTTTAAAGATTATCTCCCTAGCTTTCTACAAAAGCAGAGAGAGATCTGGAGTTAGGAAGCTCCCAAGAAGAATGATTGATGGGATGCCAGAGGACAAAGAATAGACAGTATAGATTGAGTGTGTGAGAGAGAGCTACACAGGGAGATGCTGACAGAAAGTGTTGATCTGAAGGCAGAGATCAGGACGTGTGTATCTGGTCTCTCTTTTTCTATGACCCACATGTCTAGAAGTTTAGAGAGAGAGAGAGCGCACACACACTGATCTAGCTAGCATCGCTCATCAGTCATCTCTAGACGCAGACGCTGCTTTTTGATAGCTGACATGGCCGCCATCAGCTGGATATTGGAAAAAAGCGAGGAAAGGGCCGAGGAGTTTTGAAATCTTACGCTCCGAGTGAAAGTATAACCAACTTCAGCAGATTGTGTGGAATGTTTGAAAAGGAATGCAATCCTTAAAATAAGAGCCACAGACTACTTTTATCAGTTATATAAGGCTTAACAGATGCCAACCACTAATCTAATGATGAATATCAAGTGCAGACTTTGTCAAAAGCTTTTATATTGAAGGTGTTGCGATTTTAGCAAATCTCCAGATCATTTTACCTCCTGAAATTGAAGGAGCTCGAGTTGCTGGTCATAATAAATTATGTCACATAAATCAATCCTCTGAAAAAGAGAGAAAAAAAAAAAGCGGTGGAAGAAAATCTCCATTCATGATGGGAAGAATGAACGCATTGTCTGAGCAGCACTGTACTTCACTGTATGGCGTTGTGCGTTAAAGAGACAAATCACCCCGGGCTTTCATGAGCGAAGCATAGTGGGAGGCCAAGATGAATACAGTACATTTCCCCTCTCTGTTTCCCTCTCAGCTAAAACATAGCAATTAAAAAGTCCCCATAGAAGCCTGAGCTCGGAGGAGCCAGCAGCTCAGTGAGAGACAAAGAGCACGGCCTCTGCTCTAATTGAAACAGGGCCTAAAGTCTAACGGCAATACCCACATTTATTTATTTTCAGCCATTTAACATGTCTGAGATCTTTGTCTCGGGAAGCTAATTGCTTCTTCCGACAGGAAGACAGTGAGTCAATGGGTAGTTTATGTACAAAGAGATTTTAATCTGATCCCCCCTTCTTGTTTGCAGCCCCACGGATTCAGCAGAAAATATGGAAAGTATGAGAGTCTTTCCTCGGTGTTACAACAATACAGGATAATCCCTGACTGTTTTACTAATGTCAGTAAATATTTAAACTCATCGCCTGGGTGTAAACTTTTACTTATTGCTCCACCAGTAGAGAGGACTTTGTTTTGTTGTTGCTTTCGCATCTCTCCAGTCCATTACATCATGAGATCATTTGTTTGGAAGTTTGATTAGGGGTCTCAGAAAATCCACAAAAATGCACAAAATTGTCCGTACTTTTTTGGCCTGGCACATACTGTATAACGCTGAAAAAAAAAGAGGAGGCAATGGGTAAAAGGAATGTAATCATGGTGTATCCATGGATGTCGGTGCACTGAGAAATCCCTTTCGATGAGTCTCCCAGACCACTCCAGTAAAGTAGAAAATGGGAAATGTTATACTTTCTCTCTCATCGACCACACACTCACTTGACCAGCTGAGTAACAGAGGAGCAGAGGCCACTTATAGAGTAACTAGAGCTTTTGATTTCTTTGCCCCCTCCCCTTCTTTTACATTTTTCATACCGTCTGCATTGAAAACCCTTTTTAAGGATGTCTGCACAAATCTCTAAATGTGCATGATTTGATTTTCCTTGCTGAGTTAAATGAACGTCAGGTGAGCAGAGAGGAAGAAACCAGAGACATGGTCACTCGCTCTCGACTGAGCACATCTGTCTGCCAGCTGTGCATATGTTTACACCTGACCCTAGCCAAGTCACCGTCTGGGTTGCTCCCTCGTGCTTCCCTTTGCTTTACCTCCATCCCCCCTTCTCCCGCAGGTTTTCCTTCCTACTGTCGAGGAAATTCTTTAGCCCCAGCTACTGCAGCAGTACTCGGCTTTTAACCTCAATCACACTGACTCCAGAAAGAAGGTCTTTCAGAGCTACCACAAACTCAGAAAATTGGTCAGATTCAAAGATGATTAAAGAAATCAAAGCAAACTGAGGTTGTGCGAAACTTTTGGCGAAGACCTTAGCCAGCAAATGGTGGAAAAACCGTGATGGGATGGGACAGATTTCAAAGAAAATGCTATTTCATGGTGGTCATACGTGTCATGGCTCACATATGACTGATACAGAAATTACTGCTTCTTTCTCCATAAACACTCGTATTGCATCATGTGCTTCTGCTTTAGCAAACAATACGAAAAATATACCATCATGTTCTCAGACATTTCGGTCCTTTCTTTATCCAAATGACGCCGTTTTGAAGAGACAAGTGTTTACACTCGCGCGGACATGGGGAAGTCTTGGTTTGACTGATTGCTAAACAACGCTAATCTGCATGATAAAAAGGAGCATTTAAATCAGCGCTCGATAAACACGAGGCAGGGAGTCACCAGAAGATGGACTTTGATACAAAGGGGGTTTTTCCCTCATCTTCATCTTTGCTGTTCTGTAGGTGGCCGACCACTCCGCTAAGTTTGGATTGGAGTGAGACTTTGGTTTAGAGAAAGACTTGAGGTTGAGCTGTCATTTTATGGAAACAAACAAATCTTTGAAATCAAAGTCAGTGTTTGTAGTCCCATTCTGTCTTGTCTACCAACCGTGAGTTGTTTCATTAAAGCACTCCGTATTGTGCTCTAAGAGCTTTTTAAGTTCGGTTGTTTACAAGTCTTTGTTATGCTAAGGGTATTATCTGACTCACAGTTTCTTTTATTGTTTCGGAGACCATTGAGGTTATGTGCTAACACTATTGGACGAAAAAAATTGCGAAAATTGAGACAAAAATACAATATATATATATATTTTTTACCATTGACAATATCTTAGTTTTTATCGTAATTAAGAATTGGTCTTGTCTGCATTTGCATCCATCTAAAGAGCTAAATGCAACCCTATAATGTAGATTTAGTATTAATTTATGTGTCTTAAGTCACATGTGTATAGAAGTACAGCTACAGGCGATTTATAAAGTTAGTTTCTGGACACCAACTCTGTCTCTCTTCTCAAGTCGCTAGATGAACTAAAAAGGGGGTCTTGACGAGATGTTTTTATCACAACAACTGTGGAAGTCATATTGTCTACTGACAACAGCTGATTGATTTTGAGATCTTAACAGATCCGTCTTTCCTTCTCTGTAAGCAAGTTCAGTTGTTGCACTCATCCGTTTTTTTGCCAAAGCTGCAATTTCAACAAATTCTGGCAAAATAGAGGACACACATCTCCAGACATCTTGCTGTAAACCGATGGAGGTGTTGAGGTCCCCAGATGAAGCCCAGCCCGATGTAAACAAAAGGCAGTGCAGCGGCTGATACAGCTGGGATGCATCTGATGTGGACACTAATGCCATCAGTTCCGCCATCTTACCAGGATGTTTGCACGATGCTTGATGTAAAATATAAATGAGGACAGAACCACAACTGCTGTTGAACTTGGATTGATGTGGACCTGGAAGTAGTGATAGTCTCGTTTGTCTTCTCTACACCCTGTCCATGTGGTTGTTCAGATTTTAAAACCACTACTTGTGTTTTGCATATTTTAATTCCACCAATTATCCTTGTCAGAGATCAACACTGGCATATAGACCTCCTGTAAATGCTCACAAGATACTTTAAAACAACAAATACTTTCATGTTTAGGATCCCTTGTGGATAAGAAGATGGTGATGTGGTGAAATGTAAAAGGCACCATCACCCTGAGCGGTTAGATATAGAGCTTTCCTTTTTTGGCCTTACTGTAAACACATGCACATGCTGCCTTATTTTGCATTACTGCAGAAGTAGCAGCTCAGCCATTTTTGCTTTAACACCGTCCCATACGTGTTGTTTTCAAGTTCAGTAACCCTGATGTTGATTTTGGCAGATTTGGTCTTAGTCTTGCACAGTTCTGCCTTTTAGTTCTGTGTGTATTTTTTTTTTGTCATTTTTGCCCTCTGTAGTCTTTGTCTAGTTTTATTCAGCATTAAAACTCATCACGCGATTAACGTGATAACCTTCAGTGAAAGTATTTTTTTCCCCTATAAATAATTTATTCAGTCTGTTAGAAACTTGCATCAGAGTTTGACCAAGTGCTTCCATCTGCAACATTTGACTCTGTTAACACTTTCACTTGTATAAGACCTCAGCTGAATAACTGAGCCCAGACTATCCCACCAGTGTAATGCCTCTGTGCTTTCCCTGCTGACCTGCTAATGCAAGTAAAGTGTAAATCAAAAGTAGGGCTGGGCGATAAACTGAAAATTTACCGATACCAATATTCACGACAATAACCAATGTCATTTTGCCCATGTCAATATATTTGGTGTAAAATAAATAAATAAAAGTTGGTTTTGGTTGTGTGTAGGTAGGCTATGGTCTCATGTCCTTTTTAAGATGCTGTCCTGCATCAGAGACGTGATGACTCCACCCTATCCAGTCTGTAACAAAGAGGGAAAGACAGGTGAGGAGACAGAGGACGGTTCAAGAGTTGTAACGGTTGAAGTAGACAAAGTTAATGTGGGAGGGGGTGAGCGGCTTGTGGAGTAGTTATCGTCCATTTATCCTTATCGAGGTGAACTGCTCAATCAATATATTGTGATATTGATTTGAGGCCATATCGCCCGGCCCTAATCTAGGGTTTGACATGGTGATCGTTGTGAATTTGTCACTGATATACACAAACTCATCAGTGAAAATGGAAAAAGAGTAGGTTTGTACCCAAAGCCCACTTGTTGCTTGGGTGTGATCTGCGCCCCATTATTACATTGCAGCGTAATGACTCCGCCTGCTGCAGGAACATGCTATGCTTATTTTAACAGAAAGTTTCTTTGTTATGTTTAGCTTAAAAAAAACACAACAACTCTGGTTTCTATACTGTAATAGTGCAATTGTTGGAGATTCAGGATTGTTTCCCTTAAAATCACTTCCATGAGGAGCCTTTTCAGGAACCAGGGGTGTGCGGGAGCCAATGGGGGGCCACATGATGAGCACGTCCTGGTGAGCCAGACAGTTACGGATCACTTGCTTTTAATTAGCGGCTTCACATGCAGCCTGCGTGGAGCTGCGAGCTCCACCACAAACGCATGGAAGATGTGACAGTTCCCCCTCAGGGAGACACGGCCCGGGGAAAGGCTCCGGCATTTCTGCAGCTTCTCGACTCAACACAATGCCCAATGTGCACGCCAGACCCACGGCAATTAGCTTCTAAGGTTCCCCCTCGTACTTTGCCTTCTCTCTTTCTTTTTAATGTCGGAGCTTGGAAAGGCTCAATATAATCAAGTCAAGAAAAGTTTATTCTGTTTAGAATTCCATCTGGTTCCAGGGGGGCTAATTTTAGCGGCGCGCAGAGCGGTATGCAGTGAGGCTGCATGTACCATCCTACTTAGAGCGGTGGGGGGGAGAGCTCAGCGCAGACACCCAGGCTCCTAGGCAATAGACTGGCCGACTGGTGTTTCTAAACACTGCTGTAGCCGTTCTCCCATCACTCAGCACACCCTGTGTTCCAGCAAAATGTGTCCCTCTGGCACTTACCACAGGATCCAAGACTCCCTCAGCCCCCCCCTCCTCCCTCCAGCCCAGACCCCTCTCGCCCCCTTCTCTTTCCTCACCCTTTCTGTCTCGCTGCGTATCGGTAACTTTTACAGTGTTTCAGCGGTCGAGTATCACCTCAGCTGAGGGCTCTGCAGAGAGAGAGCGACTGCGCTCCGAGCTGTGATGCTTTGGGGTGATAGCGCTGATTGGATGTGGCACTCAAAATTACCCCGGTCTGACTGCGCAGTCATTACATACGCCTGCATCATTTACAAGCAGGACGGAACGGTAAAATTCAATTCACAGGGAAAGTATCGTCTTTGTTTCTCCGTATGATGATTGCAGGATTGTGACAAAACATAACTCTCTCATTTCAAGGTTAAAGAGCAATGTCTCCAGCCTCTCAAACAGAACATGCACACATGGATTTCCCATTTGCAGTATGGAAAAACATGCCGTGTAGTCGGCGGATATCATACCTACAGTGCTTCAGTCGGGATTTTGATGAAAGACTTACTTTTCTTTCTATTGAAGCAAAACTCCCACAGTGCATCCAACTAATTTAATTACACCTGTAGATAAGTCAGGTGAGGAATCGCGGCTGTCATGATGTTTCGACCTTTTACATCGTGGAAAATTATAGCCTGGATGTGTCCGCCTCATCCCTTCAGCTTCTATTTGACAGCGCTGAGACGGGGAATAGAGGCAGACTTGTCCTCTGTCAGGCTTGCATTACACCAGAAGGGAAGCCTTTTCACGCCTTGCTGAAGAAACTTGAGAGAGCTTATATACGAGCTCTGTGGGACCCGCAGAGTCCAGTAGTGATTCAAACCGGTGAAGAATAACACACCTTCACCTACTAAGTAGTGTTTGGGCTAATATTTTCTCTTTGGAAAAAAAACCTCAGGTCAGAGCTCTGATTTGTTCCCGTCTCTGGACTGTCATTTGTCATCTCAGATCGTACGTCAGCGTTTCAGCCTGTGTGAACGCGGTGAATCCCCGCTGACCATAAGTAGATTGTTTATGCTTTGACTAATTTGGATGTAGGGTTTTTGATGGATCACGGACAGGGGGCAGCTGCCGCATAATTACTGCACTGAGGCATTCATACTCTCCGTAATTAACGGGCTTATAGTGAAAACACCGTGCTATTATTTGTGCCGTGCTAATCAGAGACGTTTTTATTGCTCTTAGTATACAGCCAAGAGGATATAAACAGGAGTTATGTGTTCATTTCAGGTTTTTATAGCGGGAATAATAAATTTTAGTTTCCTGTAATTAATAAAATTTAATTTGCGCAAACAGTGTAAAAGGCTATTTAAAGAGAGAGAATGAGAAACACAGAGTTGGAAGTGAAACCCTGCGACTCAGAACTCTCCAGGTAGGCTGATAGAAACTCATTTATCCTTAATGTCCGGTTTTTCCAACCCTTTTTTTTTTTTTCTTTAAATAACCCCAAGGAGAAGTATGGATCAGTCATCAGAAAATGCTGTTATTAATCTCTGTCCGTAGTCTTAACAAATGAAGGCTACAATCATATGGAAACAATCTGGCCCTTGCCCTCCAAGAGACAGAAAACAGAGCCAAATGAAGAACATCCTTTCTCTTAAGACCTGTAATTTGTTTTTATTACCTATTAGGCAAAACACCTCATTTATCAATGTCAAAGCCCTCACAAAATGATAGCTGTCCACATGTAAATCAGCTAATGCCATGTATGGTTCAGAATTAAGTGGGCTCTTTCTTATGAAATGCTCTACTCTGTGGGCTCAGTGACCCAGCGAAGCCACCCACGACCAGACGTTTTTCTTTCACAGGGGCTGTGCTGGAAAACCGAGCGGAGAACACTTAAAAACAGAGCTGATTAAGCACAGACCGAACTGTGTTTCTGTACCCCACACAGTAAAAACCAGGGACATGGGTGTGTGTGTGTGTGAGAGAGAGAGAGCTACAAGTCCAGGAATTAACGCTGAATAATATTTAACCCAAACAGGCTGAAGAATGGAGGAAAATCTTGTCTCGCTTGATTTGTTTTTTGCATCTAATTTAACGCAGGCATTCAAGTGCTTTAGTCCATAAAAGCGGCATTTTAATTCAAAGATCTTGGTCATTTTTTCCCACTTTATGTCAGTCCAGACTCAGATATAAATCTGCAACCCTGTAACTACACAAAGATGTTTCATGTCAGGGCCGTATACCCCCCTACTGCTAAGCTAAATAAAACACATGATCAATAAAACCTTTGATTCAGAGCATGTCCTGCGAGGCTACAGTAAATAATCTGCAACTTTATTTCTAGCTGACGTGTATAAATATTTATTCTGTTCATACGCCATTTCTTTAAGTTAAAACACGCACGTCAAAGGCGGAGGATTTGTGTGCGAGTTCCTAGAAATAGAGGTAAAAATCTCCCCTGCCCGCCACTTTCCAAAGGCGCCTTTACAATTACTTATTCAACACACGGTATTACACACTATGCCATCATAAGCAACTCGGACCCCCTTTTTTTTTCAGCTCAGCAAAAGCATGATGAATGACAGTCTTGGTCTGAGCCGTGCCAAGCAACACAACTCAAAATACATGATACGGAACCATCCAATACTACCGTAGAGCATATCTGTCAGTCTGGCAGAGCTCTCCAAAACAGGGACCACACACTCTTTATTAGAGCCAGTAAAATGTCCCAAAGACGTGGCTCGACTTTGCTTTCTGCCTAGCTACCATGAACAATAGCAGGATTGTGCTGCTTCTCTCTTTTTCTTTTTGTGGGCCTATTATTTTTTCTAGCATTTGTTATTCTCACTTAAACTTCAGGCTGGCTCCATGAGCGGGCCACAGCGTCTCCGAACCGGGCCTACTCTGGCCAGGAAAAACCCGGAGGAGCCAGACGAATAAAAAAGCCAAAGCGCCGACGCCGCGCGGCTCCCAATCTGGTTCCTGTCAGGGGGACATCAAGGGAACACCCGCAACGCAATCTGCAAACGTCTCCCCTTCCCTTTTCTCTCTCTCCCTCCCTCCCTCCACCCTTCAAGCGATACGTCTCGCAGATGACTGAACCATCGCCAAATGCTCCCAAAATGCTTCTCTTTTTTCCTCCTCCATCTCTCTTTTTCCCCCTCTCGTGTCTCTATGTTTGGAGCCAGCCCACATGGATTGGGATCAATTTAGGATGAAATGATAATTACGCTGTCAGTTTCAATTCAGACGTGATGAAGTGAGAAACAGGAAATGTAATAAACATAACTGGAATCCCAAGCACTCTTGATTTGGAAGCGGATTGAATCAGACGCCACAAACTTGGTCGAATTGTCAATTCCGTGCCATCCCCGCTGAGAGGCAGTTATACGTTTATGCCTCGTCTCACACCAAAATGCTGTATGAAGCATATTGCTGCAGATAATTACCTGGTTCCACATTTACTACAGAGACTATACGCCTGTTACTGTTTAGTTTGGAACTTCATACATAAGAAATGATTCGGGCTGCGTCTTTCCAGAGGAAAAGTCAGGAGCCTTTCCCTCTCTCCGCAACCCCCAACAGAAGTCGCATATCTTTCTGTATTCGATCACCACATCCTGCACCTGAACCGGAGTTAGTTTATTGTTTTCGAGCGTACTCTGTGTCGGGGAGATCAGTGATAGCGCTTGGCTAACAGTAGCCGGCTCTAACCCTGTCATGTTGGCTCTTCCACAGCTGATATATGGAGCTGATTCCTGGCGGGCCGCGCCGCGCTGCCTGGATTTGTTTAACCCGGCAGATCAACCTTCAGACATGAGCATGTGTGCAGGTAATGGCTGCCAGATGAGGTGAGGCCAGCTCCTTACAGGCCCGGTGGATGCTGCAGAGGAAGAAAGGACACACATAGACACACACGCACATATGCATACGCAAACATGCACACTGAGGCCGGGACTGTTATGAGAAGCATCAACAAACGTGCAAATAAAAAAAGTCAATATTTAAAAGCATCATAACCACCTCCCTATTTGGGTGGTTCTTTGAAAGTTTAGCTTTTAGATTTTTCAAAATATTGATTTAAACATTAACTATTTCTAGGATCCATTTACTGCCGGGATGCCAGCGTGGCTTCGAGCCTAATTTCGGTGCGCAGACAGATGCCAGATAGGTGAAGTGAGGTGAGGGGGTGAGAAGCGAAGGAGTCGTGCTTTTAAAACGTCGAGTCGCCAGGTGATGTCTGGACACCGGTCTGTCGGAGCGGCCGCCTGACCAACCACAGTCTGCAGGGATGAACGGCCCCCTGTAATGAGGACACACTCGAACTAATAAGTCTTTCCAGCTTGCATATTCATCCACAAAGCAAACAAGTATAAGTCGAAGATTAAATACAGCGGGGGCATCTTTGGCACGAGCCACGGCCACCCAGGACGCCACAAGGGCTCCGAATGACGAACTCAGCCGACAACCACTCAAACAAAAATAAACAGAAACAAGCCCCTCTTACAGGAGATGCAGAAAATTAATTGAGCGAGTTAATGGTCTGGGTGAATGCATCTTCAACAGGGAAGGTCTTCAAAAACTCCGCTCTGGATGTCTGTAATATTTGGATTTGCAATTTTAGTATCTGATTTCATCTCTTTTACACTGTTTTACATGTGGCTTTTAGGGGCAAGCTAAAAGTAATTCTTTCCCCCAAACGTCATCATGCTCTAAACTGGTCAGCATGACTGTAAATTAATTTGTTCCCTTTGCTGTACAGACCTCAAGCTGGAGCAGTAAATTTCCAACTCAGCTCGGAAAGGATGAAGAAGATCTGTCCTTAAAGGAGTCACTAATGAGTGTGCCTCAGCTGATGGGTCAAATAAATTAAAATAGCTGCTTTATAAACCCGCTTTTTCCTTCTGTGTAGTGATTAAAGATCCTTGAGTAATGCGAGCTGGAAAAGAAAAGCAAGATAAAGAGAAAAAGAGAGAAAACTTCCCCCGCTAGATGCTCATGAGGCTGTTTTTACAAGCCAGCGTCTTGCAGTTAAAAAGTGAAAAGGTGTAGCTGATATTTTTCTCCCAACCCGTCCGTGTGAAAGTTCATCAGGTAGAGATCCATCGAGGGAGCTCCCCGCATCTCCTGCAGTGTAATTTATAACCGCTACCCACCGTGCAGCAGCAACAGAAGAACAAACTAGACCCAGGGGTTTGATAAAGAAGCACGGCGATGAAAAGGCCTCCGCTACCAGCAGCCGCCCTCCCGCCTGCGCAAAGCCAGAGAGCAGCGAGGAGAGGAAACCGAGCCAAACTCTGCACCTGGCCTCTGCAGAGTCCGCCAAGTCTCTTTCCTGTTCCTGCTTCCTGTTATGACGTGTTTTTCTTTTAATTATTCTTTTTTTTTTTCTCTCTCTGGCTGTGCAGCTCGGAGCAGGTAAAAGGGGCATTCAAGCATTGAAGCCACCTGGGATGGCAGGTTGAGTAAAGCACGGGGGAGTTGTGCTCTGGAACATGTCTGCAGGCAAATTACTCTGCCTTTACTGATTAGTCAGGCCAGCCTCTCACCTGGCAAACATAATATCACCATATGACAGTATAACAGAGGTTACACTGTCGGCTAAAACCTGTTCAAAAACATACTTGTATTGTTAAGTAACGACAATTTTAGTATCATTAGGAATAAATTTGTTTCTTTTACAGATTGATGTCTTAATTTGCAACATGTTAAATCCTGGTAAAATCCTTTTGCAGCCTTAAATGAACAAAAATTCAAACACCATGTGATCACAAATACAGCGATAACTAGAATGAAAAGGCTCGACATGAACTCTCATCTGTATTTGTAACTGTAGTACATAGAAGATTGAGCCGCTTAGATTTACTGTTTGCACTAAAAAAAAATTCAAAATGTCCATTCTCCAGCTTAGACGTGTAGTTTCTCTACCCTGTTATAGGACAACTGATAAAAACAAACTTAATGCAAAGCGTTGACAAAGAGCATAAAGCTCCATCATCTGAAAGTAGTTGTTTTTTAACAGAAGTGCATCTCCTACATTGACTTTGAGATTTTTCTTTTTGGTAGGATGCTCCTTTTGTGCCATTAACTTCATACACTTTATTTTTTTCCAATACTTATAGGGATTTTTTTTGAAGTATAAAACCATTTTTCCTCATTAACTTCATTTTATCTCCCACTGTTTTCTTCCCAGATACCTTTTCTCTCATGTTCCTTTTAAAGAGGACAGAAAACAAAACAGTATTTACAAACTACAAAAAGTTTAAGACCCTTACCAGTCAAACCTTTTAGGGTACTGCGCTTGTATTAAAATTTGTTGTAACTTTTAAGTATAGCCTTTTTTTTTTTTTGCTGTTTGCATTTCCACTCCACTAACTTTCAGAAGAAAAAAAATGTTTTTCAGTCTACTACATTTAGTAGCTGATTTTTTTTTTTGTTTGTTTTTTAAATCAGGACTCGAAAATTCCTGTTTATTAAAAATGCATAAACACTAAATTCAGACACGCAGGAGTGTATGGAAATGCATAAACTAAGTCCAATCAATGCTGAAATGATCTTTTTTTGCATGCACACGCACAATCGATCAGGATAAAGTGATGTCAAAATTCTAACCACCCTCACAGGAGCTTGGTTCACACTTGCTGTTAGTTTTTTTTACAGTATTGAGATGTGAATTGTTGTTTTTATCTTGAGTAAATGAGAGTAAGGTCGTTTTTTTGCTGTTACAAAGCCCCTCATTTGAACACTGGGTGGCACTGTGCAGACTGGAGACCTTGACAACAGCAGACACACAAAGCTTGAAGATGGAGAGCAGCAGCCAAACTAACTGGTGGTCCTCTCTCTCTCTCTCTCTCTCTCTCTTTCTCTCGCCATCCTCCTGCATCAGCACAACGCTGGTTTAGAGCAGAGCAATATTTAGCCATAAGAAAATATGAAACCCCTGTTTCTATGACGGTAGGCTGAAGTACACAAAAATCTGGAATGAAAACATCTTGGAAGAAGTATCCCCCCCTCAGAAAAGCGGGCTCACATTTCAGCAGTAGTGAACATAATAATTAGTCTGACCACTCTTTTCCTCCACTTTCTTCCTCTTGTCCTCATCCTCCTCTTCGCTGGCCTCCTCCATAGGTCAGAAATAGAAGAGCTGATTCCCATGCAGCAGGGTGGCTCTGTGATTTTACCAGGATGTACTTTCACTACTTCTCCTCCGTGTGCCACATTACCATTCTGATTTCAATAATTTATAGGAAATGCCACATCGTTAAAATGTGAGCCATGCGTCTTTTTTTTTTTTCGTCGAGCAAGTAGGACATGTGTCTCGCTTCAAACATCAGCCTGTCTTTGTGTGTAATGTGTGGCATTTGAAAGGCTGCTTATTATTGAATGGAGTCTCTGTGAGGTTTCCGAGGCAGGGGGACATCTATTAGGAGGTTAGCAAAACACTATCAGCTAATACGACCTGTAATTACACCAGCAGTGAGGAAACGCAGCAAGCTAACACCAGTATGGAAACAATCTGACAATGCAAACACTGCAACTAAGCCACCACGTGTGTGTGTATGTGTGTGTGTACATTTGTAAGCGTGTATAGGAGTGAGTAAGTGTGTGTGTGTGTGTGGACAGAGGCCTCCTTGCTCAGATTGTGGCTGTGCGAACTGTCAAATTGGAGTGGCTGGGTGGGAGTGGAGGGAGCACATCTGGAGGGAATTTATTGTATAATTCAGTCTATTATTGCTGCGGTCGGTGCTTAAGGAGCACGCACACAATTACCGTCCACTCTGCAAGGCTACAAGTGGCCTCTGGCCTAAACTAATAAACTGTGGAGGAGGGTGGAGAGAGGAGAATTCATTTGAGGTTATCATCATCACACTCCTCTCTGCTACCTCTCACACTGACACTTACCAGAGTTTACAATATGTCAATGAGGTACACCTACTACTCAGGCCCAGATATGGTCAAAGTGGACCTCAGTCTGGCTTTCAAAGGTTTTAATTAGTCACATATGCCATGCAAAGTTGGATTGTTTGGAAGAGCTCACCATCACCAATATTTGAATGGTTATTCAAAATTTTGCAGTAAAGTACAATCAGGAGATGAAGACAAAAGAATGGAGTGTAAAAGTTAGAATTTTGGAAAAGTCCTTTCAGTCAAATCAGAACCCCACTAGGTTTATTTGATTAATAGTTTGATAATGCATTATTTTTATCCATTAAAAAAGCATCAAGGTAGTATTTCTAAAAGGTGCCATTGGCCTTGTAATTGAGGTGTGGTCCCCGGGTAAAGAGGCTGTGGTCCACTGGCTTGTAGGCTGGATTCAACATCAATTTACTCCCAAGTCTCTCCTGTTTTTTTGCTTATTCTTTCACCTTGTTCCCTCAAAAGACTGGTTTGCCTTTCTATGTAGCTCATGATTTTTAAAGCTTATAAACTCAGAGATTAAATGTATGATTTTTATTTGTAATAGACGAGTAGCTCCTTATGTTCGTCAAGAATCACACCACCCTCCTTGGCTTGTTACTTTTTGTGTCAAATTGAGGAGTCCTTTCAGTCAAATCAGAACCCCACTAGGTTTATTTGATTAATAATGAAACTGTAAATGCATGATTCTGATCCAATGAAAAAAAGCATCAAGGTGGTATTTCTATAGGGTGCCGTTGGCCTGGCAATTGAGGTGTGGTCCACTGGCTTGTAGGCTGGATTCAACATCAATTTACTCCCCAGTCTCCAGTTTTTTGCTTTGTTTACCATGTTGTTCCCTCAAAAGACTGGTTTGCCTTTCTATGTAGCTTGTATCTCCCCCAGCATGACAGACAGGATTCAAATCCTTCACTTTGACCAACCAGTCTGATTGGATAGTCAGATCTCTTGTTAAACCTGGTTGGTCTTCGATGCAGCAGCCTTCTTTTCATGGCACATTTGCTTTTATTAGATCTTCAAATTTTGACTTTGGATATAAATCTCCTTTAAAGCGTGTGTGTGTGTGTGTAAATACCTGTTGCTAACCCTGTATAAGTCAGTGCCTCATTTCGGCCACCCCAATCCAATAAATCTGGACATGCCCCTGGGGTTCACTAAATAATATGTTTGCTAACCCCACACGCTACCACAAAAATGGACTGAAAATCTGTTCAGTTGGGTGCACTATATACTGCGAAATTGGATGCTAATTCTGCTTTAATATCGTTTAAAGAAGGCCCGCCTCTTTCTTAATTCTTCTAATAATGCCCCTGCTGTAGTTCTGTAATCACACAAACTAATGTTCTGTACTCAACGTGAATGCCATTATCTCAATGCCTTTAGCAGCTCTCATGTTTCATGTGAAACCTCCTGCTCGGTGTATTAAGTAGGTGCATGAGCAAGAGATCCCCATCGGTTTATGAGGTGATGTCTTTTCATATACATTAGTTCTCATCATAAAAAGGTCCGAAATAAAACCCACCGCGTCTTTTCCATTTCAGCAGTCTCTAGGAATAGACTAGCGAGGCGTCGAGGATAAAGACTTTACCAGGGGAAAAATCTGCTCAGGCCAGCCAGTATCTGGCTCAGGCAGCCCCGAATGACCCGCAGAGTGTGTGTGTGTGTGTGTATGTGTGTGCGTGTGATTTAGGAGCTCTTAACAGCACTGGCGAGGAGCTCGTAACCCAAAACAATAAAGTGCTTCCCCTTCAAGCCTCCCAGCAGTGACCTCTGCTAAAAGTTGAGGGTTCAAACAGCTACACGTGTCAGGGTTGTGACCTTTCACCTGCTGAATGTTTCAGTCTCGCTCTTTTTTTTTTCTCCTGCCTCCTCCGTCCTTCCTTTTTCACTCGCTGTCTCTTTCCTCATCCTCTTTTTTTTTTCTACCACTGCGCACACACTCAACCTCTGTTCTCCTCAAACTGAATGATGCTCTGTCTTGCTGTCTACAACAGTTGAGACTTGGCTTTCTCCAACACTTTTTCTCAGTGTAATCAAAAACTGTTTTCAGCTCTGACTTTGGCCTGGCAGACTTCCAAAGCTGCATTCTGCTGCCTGACAAAATTACTGCTTGCATAGTTTTAGAAAAACTGCAAAAACACAACACTTAAAAAAAAAAAACTCATTGGTTATGCATAATGTTTTGTTCCTCCTGAACTTACTGGACCACCCTGTTTCTACGTTGAGCTTACATCCTTGTGATACCACCAACAGAAATGACAGTTTGGCATATTTGCTTTAACGTTCGTCTGTCCTCTGATCAGCTTTGGAAGAATCGTTCACATTGACAAAAAAGATCTGCATCCTGTAGATTCATTTTAATCTGATCCCTTTTAATAACCACCTGAAGAATATTATTTTGTAACATGGGAGTATTGACATCACACTCAGTCTGTAATCTGGGTTAGAGGGTACCACCAGCAGCCAGTTAGCCTAGCTTGGCATCAAAACTTAAAATAGAGGAAAACCACATAGTGCAAATTAAAGTTTTGAGGTTGAGTTCCCTCCAAAAAAGCAGCAGCAAATGTAGGGTGAACACTGTGGGCGAAATTGCTATGGATGGCATAGTTGGCAAGTTATATCAATATACAAATATGACATGAATAACATCTGCATGGACTTGTTGTGAGATGGAATGTAAGCAATGTAAATTGATGCTGTGTGGCAGAAAGTGGCTGTTTTAATATTATTTAGTCTAATTTTGTGCAGTCTTTTTGGGTTTAGTGACTTTTTTGTAATGATTTGTATGAAAATCAAGCAGAAATTGTTCATGCAGACCCGAGGTTACAAATGCAGGAAATTAACCTTTGAGTCTTGCTGATAAACTTGCTTCGATGTGCCACTGCGGTAAGTTCAGCTCTAACTAAACGATGCTCTTGTTCTTCTCTGCCAAGGTATTTCAGCGAATTATCTATGCCTGTAATATCAAAACACTCTATACAGAGTTAATCAAATTTAGATGTGCATTTGAAAGAAAATGCTGTGTCGTGGTTAGAGCTGGGCAATAAACCGAAAATTTACTGATACCGAAATTTACGACAATGACTGACGTAATTTTGCCCATGTCAATATATTTGGTGTCAAAAAATGAATAAAAGTTGGTTTATGATGTGTGTAGGTAGGCTATGGTCTCATGTCCCTTTAAGACTCTGTCCTATGTCAGAGACATGACTCCACCCCATCCAGTCCGTAACAAAGAGGGAAAGACAGGCGAGAAGATGGAGGATGGTTTAAAAGTTGTAGCGGCTGGAGCGGCAGCTGAAGTTGACGAAGTTAATGTGGGAGGGGGTGAGCAGCTTGTGGAGGAGTTCTGCTCAATGTATCGTAATATTGATTTGAAGTGATATCATAGACTGTATATAGAAGGGACGCCGTCTGCCTCCTCGCTGGGTGAAGCCACTCCGAGAACAGCACCCTTTAGTGACAGGCTGCAGTATAGGTCATAAATCCGACCTCTGCCAGCAAAGCTTATGGGACTGTGGACAAACTTTAGAAATTTATTACACAGAATGCAAATTTTTCTCCCCCCTGGTTGCAATGCGATGAAAAAATGCGTAGTTACAGAGAGCTTTTCTGCTTTAAATCCATTCAGTGGTGGAAGGGGGGACCAAGTTGTTCATAGTATATTCAGTCTATGGGCCGTATCGCCCAGCCCTAGTGCCTGCACAGTATCATAAAATAGCATTTTAATGTTTATGGTGATTATGGCATGGAGTGTGTTTGTGAATGTAAAAAAAAAGCTCGAATGCACACTAGATTAGCCAGAATTTTGGGGGTTGAGTCGTACTCAAAAGGGCATTGCAGGTCTCAAAGTACACAACGGCTGAGTATAATATGTTTGTTTACCCAGTAGCTATATGGGTAACAAATGTTCGAATGCTGTTGTTGTTGATTTCAAAATAAGACCCAGCTTGCATGCTGCCCAAGCCAAAAATGTGCATTTGTTAAAGTCATTTGAACCTGGGAGAAAGTTCACAAGTGTGTTGTTAACAGCATAACCAACAAGTAAAGGGGGTGTGCAGCACATACAGGTTGAGTGTGTTGTAGGTAGTGTGTTAGTATGTGGTTTTGGATAGAGTCAAGCAGTGTTGGTGAGCTAAGCAACTGTCTGTTCAAACACTGGTGTAGTAATAATCAGGTTATGTTAACTTTCGGCGTGTGGAGGGTGATATTTGACCCTTTTTTATGGCCACAGCATCAAGTTTCATGTCTATACTAAGCTTTAGGCTCCAGATTGTGTCCCTACACTAAGTTTCTAGCTGAACTGATATCAATCTTGAAGTATCGCTTGGCAGGAAAGCAAAAAAATGGGCAGAAATCTTAAATCATCCATGCCAAATAAAAGCCGCAAACTCTGTGGCGCTATCTTTTTGTTTATGTAAAGACATTGGTGATGATTTAAAAGCTTCAAGAGTCATCAGAAATTTTTACTGACTCCTGTTTTACATCACGACCACAGTATTATGTCTCGCCCCATGAGGTGTTATGTCTGCCGGGCACAGCGCCGTCCCCAGCCTGTGGATACGCTACAGTATTTACCAATATTGAAATAGCTTGGGATGAAGTGAGTATTGAATCAGGAATGTGCTTGTGGCAGATCTCCACCCCTGATAATATAGGGTGTTTTTCTCCCCAAGTGGTTTTGCCCACTTGTTTTTCTCACTGTGTTTTCTCTCCCGTTGCAATGCTCTGTCACTCTTCCAGTAAATGTGTATAAGTGTGCATGCGTGTGTGCGTGTTTGTGCGCTTTAAGGAGGTTTGTTTTTATTCCGGTTGCTGTCTGTGTTTGTCGTTATTCTATCTTTACAAGCTCTGGGTTGTAAGTAGGAATGTAAAGTCACACATTTCCAAGGAAAACAATAAGGTCGGCTGGTTACACATCCTATGTGCAACCTCTGGGCTATGCATTGTCCATTTATCTGGTTTATTTAAGTTTTTATTTTTTTTGAAAAACGCTTAGCTTCTGTGGCCTGTTGTGGGAAATGCTTGGAGTGTATATTGTTTTTTATTACTGTAGAAACCAAGAATATGCGTATTTTGAGTTGTGTAATAAGATAATGATAGAGTAAATAAGAATTTTGAACGGGAAACTTTAAAAGGTTATCCGGGAACAAGACGGATTGTTTTCAAAGATCATGAAGAGATAAAGTGTTTTTTGAATGAAGCCAAAAAGAAGTCTCAAAAACCACAGAGGATCCTCAGTAGGCGGAAACATCCAAACAGAACAGGCAGCTCGTGCGTCTGCCTATGGTTAAAGATACTTCCTTCATTTAATACTGTGCCACAGCATACAGTAGTCAAAATGATAGCCTTGTCTTTTGTCTGTCCCAATGTGCAATTTACACAGCTTGGTGATTTGGTCAGAGGGAGACCACACGATGAAGGGTGATAGACCACAGACCAAGTGGCAAAAGGACAGGAAATATGCGATGAAAAGTGCAATGAAGTGGATGAGGTCACCCACACGCAGCGACCAAAAATCAAGAGACTCTCAGCCTCAAAATTAAAGATAATAATTTCTGTGACCTACAACATTTACGCGGCCACCAATGAAAACCTCGCGCAAGTCTTGTTTTTCTCCCTTCTCAAAACCGAGCCTGAGTGTACATTCATTTAAGCTGAGTGTAGAGAGACCACATAAGAGGAGGACACAAACAGAGGCCAATTAGAGAATGATTGGAAAAAAACGACAAGAAAATAAATGTCACGAAACAGCTGCGGTCACTACTAGTGCGACAGTTAACAGGCTTTCATAAAAGAGGCAAGAAAAGAAACACTTTTACATATCTTGACAAGTACAAGGGGATGTGGAGCAGCCGCCACTAAACATTCCTCTTTTACTCGCCTCTCGGTTTTTATTTTTGCCTTTCTGTCACTTAAAAAAAGCCCGGGCTGTCTTTGTTCTCGGGGTTGCGTGGAAGAGCGTGGTCGGGTGTAATTATGTCTTTTATTCCAGAAAATTGGGTGATTCAGAGAGCTGACACAGAGGATCTGAAAGCACCTGCGCTCACTCAAGTCCACTGGCCAGAATCTCGTAAAACACTTTTCTGGATCTACCCTCTTGTAAACATGAGAATGTGTCTCGTGTGTGTGTGTGTGTTTTTATAGCAGCACAGCTCTATTGATGACTTTCTCAGTTTGTTTGATGGTCATCTGATCCACCGCTTTCGTTGCAGATTTACTTTAATGACTGTATTGATTCATTGGAATTTTGTGCAGCCTTTCCTACAGCATAAATCTATCTTCGTCATTTACTCGAAATGAAACAGCAAGTTTGTATTTTTGATTTAAAGTTGTATTTCTCCAGTAGGACTTTCACAATATCATATTTTCACATCACAATTGTGGCCAAAACAAAAGCTAAGAAGAAAAAAAACACAAAAATGTCAAATTAAGGAAATGCAAGCTGAAGATTACCAAAAAATGCAATCGGCTAACTTTCATGTGATTATCCATTTTTTGTTTATTCTTGTTTGAGGGCATTTGGCTTTTCTCTGGTAAGACAGCTTAAGAGTGAGAGAGAAGAAACTGTAGTTAAGAGTGGAGAAAGATGTGCTTTTTTAAAGTAAAGGTTGCCTTATTCTGAAACTCTTACTCGACTTTTTTACTGTCTACTGCCCTTTGAGGCTTCTTTATTCCCTGGGTTGTAAAAACATGCTTTTATTCTGAAATAAATTACGCTACTTCCAGTGGATCGGGAGTAGGGATGTAACGATTACCGGTAAAATGATAAACCACTGTAAAATGTCTGACGGTTAATACTACCGTTTTAAATTTTAATTACCGTTAAAAGTTCATATTGCGTGTTATTTTCATTGTTTTTTCAAAATTAAACTGTGTTAAATGATTTCAGGACCTGTATAAGTACTTTTTAAACATTTTGAACATATTTCAACAACACCGCGATAATATCGATAACCGTCATAATTTTGGTCACAATAATCATGATGATTGTTACATCCCTTATCAGGAGTTACAGAACTGATTAGAAAGGGCTAAAATAAGGATATGACAGTTTGAAGTAATAAAGAGGCACAGGCTCTCGCATTTTTAGATCACAGTAGATCTTTGAATATCAGTTAATAGTCTCTCTATTTTATGGCAGGTGGCAACCAACTTTAAGAGGAAACATGCGAGCTTTGTCAGCCATGCCCTCAAGAGGAAAGAGTAAAAATTTTGTCTAGAATAGTTTGTCTCTGCACTTGCATACAGATACTGCAAGCTTTCTGCCTGCTTTTGCTCTCCATACCTTTTTTTGCACAATACACTTGTTCCTGCTGAATTATACTTGGTCAGCACCACTTTTGACAACAGAAGTACTTTAAGTGGAAATCAGAACATTCCCATGCTTAAAGTGTAGACCCCCGATCAAGTACAGATGCAACATTTTATGTCGAATCTGTTTTGTGTTCATTTTTAAAAGACTTGTTTAGTAAAAACTCAGTGAAATGAGGAACAGGCTCGACTACAGGAGTCGAAGGACAGATACTATTAGCATTGTGATCATGATTGTTTTAAGCTAGGGTTGCCATGTAATTTAAAAACACCAGAGGTTCACAGTTAGGCCTCACAGAACTATTGCTTAAGCGGAGGATCTGGAGTTATTTTTGTATTTAAATAAATTGTACTTTGGTGTGTCTGATCGTCTTACTGTCAAACCCAGACGAGCGTGTATGCTTGCTTGCTTTGTGTTAACAGATTTCTAGACCTGCCCTTGTCGAACAAATGGTCAGCAGAAAGATGGTTATGGTGTGTAAAACGCAGCTGCCGTCAAGTTTCAAAGCTCAAAGCTGTGTTTTACGGAAACACATTCTAAAGGCCATCACTCAGAATCTTACTGTCAGAGCCCATAAACAGTGGCTCGACAATTACCAGCAATTACAGAGTAAACTTCCATCTTCTGTTACCAAATGATTTTTTTGTGTGTGCGTTTAAAGGGGGCCTTATAAATGATTCTGTGTAAAGAGCTGTTTGTTTTTTCATCGGGTCTACAATCTTCTAATCCCGGAGCACTTCAAAGTATTTACAGGAACAAGCCATAACAGGATCAGCCTCTGAATGAGCTGGGAGATCAAAGCCAGGGGCTGCTGCCGACATAAATATGGAAATAATAAAACTCAGTGGGAACATAGGGTGGAACAGGGACGAGATTGACAAAGAAGACAGAAAAGCCTTGGTAGATAAAAGAAAGACGAACGGACTCTGTTTTGGATGCAACACTGATTTTACACGAGTATAGCTTTAGCAGAAGTCCATTACTCGAGCTCAGGAGGTGTTTTTTTTATTATTATACCCTTTGAGCAATTTGTTACACAGTTTGATGCTTTTCCCTCGGTCCAAACTTGATGTTGTGTCAGGTTCAAAACCGTAAATTTCCTCTTTAGAGTCAGTAACTAGTTTTTGTGTGAAAAGAACTTAAAATAACAGACAACAAAGTCATGTGGTAGGAACTTGGATGATTTATTTTTATGCAGGTACTCAGACACTTGTTAATGAACCACAGAGTACTGGCAAACAACATCTCAGGGAAAACAGGCGCTTACAGCTGCAGCAAAATACTCCTCAAGAGCCGAGTTCATTTTTATAAGCATCCAAATCGGTGATTGTAATCCAAGTACCTGGTTCTAAATTGCTGGGGATCAAACCTTGCCAATATCTTATTGTGAAATTACTGCACAAGTATAAGAGTGAAGAATAGTTTATTTAGAGTTACACATTTTAAAGGTACAGTGTGTCATATTCTAGATTTAGATGCTTCTATCTGCAAAATGACAGTGGCCTTCAAGGACAAGAAGCCCCTGTGACGTATGATAATAATAATCCTCCCTTTGTCTAATTTTAACCATCAAAAATGAAAAAAATTACAAATTCGTTCTTCTTTGTTGCTCACTTTAAACAAAACTGCATATTTTCCTCATTTGTTTGAAGGTTGGAACGACGTCATGGAGGCCACCGAAGGAGGGACTTACGCTGCATTCAAGTTACCTCGGAAGTCGGATGTCGGAGCTGAAAATAACGTCAAACCCGAGTTACTAGTGTTTCAGTTGTCAAGTTGGAAAAAAGCAAAATCGGAGGCGGAAACAAGATGGCTACATCTACGGAATTATTTTTGGTCTAGAAAGTTATTAAAACTTTCATAGATGTACGAAATTTCGTAGATGAAGCCATCTTGTTTCCTTGGGCCAAGTTATTTTAGTGCTTGCCTTGTCCTTGTTGGGACAAGGCAGGCGCAAAAATAATTTCGTAGATGTAGCCATCTTGTTTCCGCCTCCGATTTTGCTTTTTTCTGACTTGCACTGGTAACTCAGGTATGATGTCATTTTTAGCGCCGACATCTGACTTCCGAGGTAACTCAAACGCAGCTTTATTCTTAGTTAACAGAGACAAAATGATTATTGTATTTAGGTAATGATATACTAATTTAAAATGCTTATTACTCCCCACTGCACCTTCAAATAAGTACCATAGCTTCTTATTTTTTCTTTCTTTGCAAGAATCAACTGGATAAAGCAAATTATTAGTATGAGGTCTATTAGGAAATAGAAAGCTGGTCTAAATAAAAGTATCCTGTCTGCTTGTACCTTGTGAAAGAAACTTTTGTAAATAAGCAGACCATTGTTTGCACTTCCTCCTACTAACACTCAAATAGCCCTCATGTAGTGAAAACCACTGTGAGCTAAATTGAGTTACTTTCTTGAGTGTTGAGCATCAGACTCTGAGAATGGGAAGCAGTGTTGAGAAACATCATTGGCCCGAGGATGCAGAAGCAGTCGCAAAGAAACTAAACTTAGAGCTTCCTTGGCATCTGTCGTCAGGGATGACTGATTGAAACGGAATATATGAGTGTTTTTAGTTACAAGATATGTTTGAATCTAATCCTGCAGATGTGATGGGATTGCTGAAAAGAGGGCGTGATATAAAGTTATGGAGACCGAGCTGCAGAGGACTATTGGTTTGTGTGGTTTGCAAAATGGTCATTATTTCCCTGTGCTACTGAGTTCATGGGAAAGTCTTCTCTCTTTACAGTTCATTTCAGTGAAGCAGTGGATGCATTGAATGATATTTGAAATGACAGCCTGCTATGTATCATAACTTCAACTTTGAATTTTTAATATCTCCTTTTTTTTAGTGTGAACTCTGTACTTGGCGTTCATACTGAGTAAAAATGAAATGATTGTCACCTCCCAGAGCATTCCTCCATACACAACTGTCCAGAGTTGAAAAATCGTCACTCAAATGTTTGATACTCCAGGGAACCCCGTACCCCTTACTGCACTGAGATATGTCAATAAGCTACAAAGAAGGCCTGTCATCATGTCAGCTCTGCTTTTCACTCTGAACCAAAGAAACAAATCAGGATCATATGTAATACAACAGCATGTGCATCTAGAGTGACACAAAGCCCCATTGTTTCTCAACAATAACAACGGTCCTTTAATGTCCTTAAAGATGGCTAAGTCTCACCCTCTGCATCAAGGTTGAAGAGCAACTTGATAGTGTGGTCTCTCCAGTTTCCATTCATTATTAGTCACTGAAGGTCATCCGCTTACAACTTCTTCTTCTTCTTCTTGAGCTATCTGCGAGCTGATGTTGAGCAGCATGAAAACTTTAAGACTTCTCATCGATGACAATACGTTAATGTTGATTTAGCTTTGTTCAAATCGTTTCCTACCCCGTAAAGCCTGAAGAAAATATCCAGCTTTAAGCATCCTGACAATCCCAAACTCTTGTATCTTCATGGTTCTTGTCCATGCATCCGGTATGACACTGCATACAATGTCCTGCATTCCTCTGTATCAGAAATAGTAACACCTTTAGGTCTGGAATCTTTTAAATTCAGATTTTTTTAATGCGTTACGCTAAAAATCAAGGTTATAAATCCTAAAAACATCTTTGTTTACTGAAATAAAATAGAAACGAGGCTTTAAGAAAACAATAACTAACTAAAACTGTTGTTTTCTGGGAAAGCTAATTAAAATGAAATTAAATTACAGAAAGAATGCCTTTTGTTTTCGTCTCTGCCACACAGCAACACACAAACCCTAGACCTCTTAACAGCAGAAATGGAGCCTATTACTCTTTATTACTCTATATTAGAAAGGGGACTTCCAAAGAGCTGATTGAGGCCTTAAAGTATTTACAATGCAAGGCCACCTTTTTTCTACCTGCAGGTAAATGTTCAAAACAGTTATGAAGGGTTAGGCTACAAATACTCACAGTAGATGGCCGCGGAGACAGCAGGACACTACTGTCACATACAGTGCTCAGCATAAATGACAGTGCTCTTGTGGACATACATCCTAAACAAGATTTGTGACTTTTACCTGCGGGTTAAATACCTTTATTTCACTTAAGTGCCTTAAAATCAATATTTTCTATGTCAGACTATACAACAGAATACCTCCCCAAATGTAGGCCATTGATTGCAAGCAATATTTTTTTAAGTTGCATACAAAATATATATTTTTTCAATTTAAAATCGGGATGCAAAAATGACTACACCCAAATCAAAGTTATGCTAGCAAAGCTAAATTTTAGTTATCACCCTTATTGTCATCATACAGTAAATAAAATGTTATGTTAAACTCAGCTTAGTCAAAACTGGAAATTGTACTTTTTATGCCGGGGACTGTATACAGAGTAAGAGGTTATAGGTGTCACTTTGTCCACAGGGGGCGCCAGTATCAGCACAAACCAAAAGTCTCTCATACCAGCTTTAAGCATGGATCAATCAGCCATACGATGAATTTAAACATACCAAGTCTTGTCTCTGAGGAGGCAAATAACCAAATAAAATGATGTTCAAAGTTTTTTCCTACATATGCTACATTTTTTGAGGGGTCTTGCCCGTGATGCGTATTACCATATCACAAGAAACTAAAGCCATTAAAATCTAAACTAAAACAAAGCATCATCCTAAGTTTTTAATCAGTCTCTAGTCAAAGTTAAGACCAGTTCACCCACCACCCATAGTTGGATGTTTAATGTGAAGTTGTATTTTTAGCCCCTCTATACAAAGCGAGGCAGAGCTTATTAAGAAGTGCTTGTTTGTTTTAAAAGAAGATTACTAGATCTTGGTCCTCTTCAGCCTTGACAGAATAAATAAATTGTTTATTTCTTTCAATTCTTTAATCACAGTACATGTTTATAGTTGTGCTCAACCCTGTGCCCGTGCGCAGAACTGTGCGTGTGCAGCGGTGTGTAGTTACGTGTGTGTTTTCTCTTAGTGCGTGTGCGGGCGAGTGTGAGTGTGGGCGCAGGGTAAGAATTAAAGAGGCCCTGGGATGAATATGTAGAGCAGATGTAGCAGCGGAGCTCAAAGGCTTACGCCTGGAGCCCATTTGACACTGTAGGAAATGTCTTCTCTGACAGAAAGCAAAGCGTCTGTGGGGTCACCAGGTTGAACTAATAACTGGGATCTTCGAAATGATATAAACATGTACAGAGGAATCAACGCTGGACTCTGCCATTGGAGCGTTTCTGTTTCACAGAATAATGGAGGCTGTTGCCATGAGTCTGGGAGTTCAGTTTTACGACTTCCCCATTTAATTTCTGTTCCTAACATAAAGGCATTTGTAATGTAATAAATGCCAGCGACTTCTAGAGGGAAAATCTATAATTCACTCCAGTTGGGTAATTTCTTCCATTTGTTTAGTCACAAAGAGCTTTGGTCCGGATCAGGAAACTACAGAGACAACTGTCTTTCGAAAGCGAGCAGACTGGCCGGGGATCAGTCAGAGCCTCCACGGCTAAAACGAGGAAAGCGTTTCTCTGTAGTCTCAACAACGCCTTCGAAACTCACAGGCCGTTTCTGCACGACGAGGAAACTCCGTGTCAGCGTTTCATCTCAGGACTCCCACTCTCTTTCACACAGATTTTAAGTCACTCCCTTCCTTTTTTTTATTCTTCTGTCTAAATTCAAGACAAAAAAGAAAGAAAATAAACACACACACATGCCCATAAACAAGCGGGGGAAAAAAACATCCATTAAAAGTCTGAGAAAAAAAAACTCCAGCACCAAAACAGAGTGGCTGGCAGCAGGAAAGGAGAGTTTGATTGAGCAGCCAGGCTGTATGCAGACAGCGAGATCTGGACATTTAAACCGTGAGTTGCAGAGTAAAGGTTAGAGAAGCTGATTTGTGGAAGTTGTTGAAATCTTGGACAGGCTGTCAGGCCGCCTTCCACGAGGTATTTAACCCTCGTCCACTCCAGCAGGGCTGCTTTGTGGCCAGTAGTTGATGACTATGGATATTTGTGCAGCTACCAGGTGTGAATGTGTGTAACTATATAAATGTGAAGCCGGGTGTTGCTGAAAAGAGAGTGTTTGCTTGGTTGACTTTTGTTGGAAAAATAAAGGTTTAACAGCGGTGTTAATTTCCCCACTGAAAGCATTGACCAGAAAAGCTCTGTGTGCTTTTCCCACCTTTCTAACTGAAAGAAAAGAAGACCAAAAAATGCAAATTAAAACACTGTGTCTTAGTCATAATTGTTTTTTTCCAATAAACTGCACAAACAGTTACTGATAAGTAAGACCTCATGCCCCGTAAAAACAGCTTCAACTGATTCCACTATATTACGCTAACCAGCATCCAGCATGCACTAGGGCTGTCAAAATTGCTCCAAAAGGACGTTCTAATATCGTTCTCAAAATAACACATAGGTTCGAACATATTTGAATATCTATATTTGCGCCTTATGCCAACAGGAGGACAAAATAATACAAGACATAACTACTTGCATAGGTATTTTTTTATTCTTTTTTCAGTTTTAACATGTTTGGGAATTCCAAGGACATAACAAACTAAACCCCCCAGCTCTAACTTATGCAAACAACTGAAGGTCCCGACTCCTGTCCATATAGACAAGCTTTATTCAGGGATTGAAGCAAATATTATGCTAAGATTAAGTTAAGTGTTATAGTATATAGAATGTTATGGAATGATAGGCTAATTCTAGCTTACACAGCTTGCATGTAACTTTGTCTCACTCAGCATTTTTTCTGTCTGCCATGTCTGCCAATAATCCGAATTTTCCACCACTCTCTCTGAGTTTAGCTCTGAACATCCCGCCATCTCTGTCTGCATGTACCACGGTCGGTTTTTGTCGAATCTCACGGCATGTGCAGCTCCTGTGACCTGTCCCTGACCTGTCGTTACAGTGCGCTCACTCACAAAGCAGCCGCTGTTTTTTTTTTGTTTATTTAATATTCGAATATTATTTGTCACATTTGAATCTCGTTTTTTTTTATTTTCGAATATACATTTGAATTTAGAATATTAGTCGACAACCTCAGCGTGCACACACTTTTAAGAAAGTAAACTTAGCTAGCATAGGCAAGGACGGGAGAACTGATGATACAAACATGTTTATTTGAGAGGTAATTTTTTTAATTATTCAGAGCAATAATATGTGTAGCAATAATAACCAAAGATGGTAACAGCTGTAATCTTACAGTCAAAGAGATTTGTCTTTCAAGCTAACTGTTACTAACTATAATGTGTTGATTATTTGTATTAGGGCTGGGTGATATGGCCTTAAATCGATATCACGATATTTTGAGCAGTTCACCTTGATGAGGATAAATGGACGATAACTACTCTACAAGCTGCTCACCCCCTCCCACATTAACTTTGTCTACTTCAACCACAACTTTTGAACTGTCCTCCATCTCCTCACCCGTCTTTCCCTCTTTGTTACGGACTGGATGGGGTGGAGTCACGTCTCTAATGTAGGACAGCGTCTTAAAGGGACATGAGACCATAGCCTACCTACGCACATCCAAAACCAACTTTTATTTATTTATTTTTTGACACCAAATATGTTGAGATGGGCAAAATGACGTTGGTTATTGTCGTAAATTTGTCTAAAAAATAAAAAGTGAAATCTCTGTATTCTGTCTTTTACTGACATAATCAAACTAATAATTAGTTTTAGTGATTATAAAAATCTTAAAGTATTTAAAAATCTATTTAAAAAATAAATCATGAATATAATAAAAAAATCATCTGAAGTTAACCAAAAACAGACAAGCTCTTCACAGATGTTCAGCATATCTGTCCATCTCTTCTTAGTGTATGATTAAACTGCTATAATATTCAAAATTCTGTTTCCATAATGTTTAAATTTCACATCGGTATGCCGCCCAGCTGCTCCGCGCCAGACGCTATTTCACATTCGTGTCTGACTCTTGAGTGATAGTGTTTATTTTTCTAGCAACGCAGGCACCCAGTGTTAGTGCAAGACGCTGAACAAAGAGTGCATAAGTAGATTTGGTGTGGGACTTGGTATATTTTGACATGCACGCTTGTGTACAGTACAGGCCCTGGAGCAGATTGCAGTGTGTATTTGTTTGCACCTGTCTGTCTCTGCTGATATAACCAAGAAAGATACGGAAAAGCAGTTAAATCAGTTTCTTTTACTGTAAGAAAGTTGCTTTCAGGATGAACTCACATGGTACGCCTCTGTGTCTGCCTTATATCATGTACTTATCACTGACCCAGTCCTGCACAGTCCGTTTTACATCTTTTTGCAGTTCATGGCAAGAACTTCTGCTATCTATTGAAACCATGTGTCTCATATTAAACACTTCCCCTCCACTTCAAATAAATCAGCCATAGCTGACGTTCTAACTTTATTGCAGCTGTATTAGGCTGCGTCATCCCTCTGCACATTCTGCAGATAGTCTTTTTTTTTTTTTTTTTTAGTGCCACAGTTTGCACATTCAGGTGTGCTAATTCAACAACAGCAACTTTTTTGTTGTAATATTCAGAAGCTGGAGAAAGTAAAATTCCATTAGCGTTGAATTTCAGATCTGCTTTGCTTTACTTGATTTAAGAAGGAAACCCTTTCATTCTGTCACGACTGGAAGCTATTTTTAGAGGCACACTGTTTAGAAAGAAGCCGCCACAACCCAAAGCTACCCCACCCCACCCATGTCCCATACAACCCCAGCACGTCCCCACACTACCTCGGTCTGTACCTTCTGCTCCACCCTCCCACACACTCGAGCCTCTTCCCCTGCGCTCCCAAAGCCCCTCTGATACTCCTCTGTGATTAACTAATCTCAAAGGGTGAGGGTCAGGCTGCAGGAGAGGATGACACGCTTCTGACTCTCCTCATCCATCCAGGGCCTTTCATTACTTATCCCCATGCAGCTCTGTCTTCTGTGAAACCCCAACCTCATTGCCCCAGCCTCAGTCTCGACCTCAGCCTGGAGCCCTGAGACAGCCGAGCAGCCAGACCCCTCAGAGGGTGCGCTGAGCCTTTGTGTGGCTGCACTCCCCTTGCTTGTCTGCCTCCCATTATTCCCCCATTCAGGCTCCAAATCAAAGCCAGCTCACATATGAAATGTTTTTGAGGTTTGAAGCTTAACTATACCACCAGTGCAACTACAGCAGCTATTATTACCGACGCTGCATGATGGATCAATATTCATGCGAGCATGCAACTGCGAAAGAATTTAAGCTTGAATCAACCTACATCAACTACTAACTCTAATATCAATAATATTTTTGTGTTTTCAAACTTATTAGGCTCCATTTATCCCTGAAAATATTTGCCTTTCATATTTTCTTTTACGTTTAATAACTACTCAGAGTCGTGCGGTGAACTGTAATTACCCTTTTTCACTCTCAGTTTGACAAGAGGTCAGTCAAACAGAGAGCCAGAGGGCTGCAGACTCCGGAGAGACTTTCTTGCAGCAGGCTCTTTATTTAATTTTGCCCAAGTGGAAATAAAATGACAGCTATACTAAGCTCTTATACTCCCTTTACGGTGATGATGGAGGCTTTTTGATTTTTGTCTTTTTTTCTCTCGAACCCAAACTCTCTTTTTTTGCTATGGTGCCCTTTCAATAAATATTTTCAAGTCTGTCAGTTAATTCTGAAATTCCATCGATGAACTCCGTCCAGAAAAATAAACCGGGCAGCCACGGCAGTTGGTCTGGATGGGAAGTTGTTATTTTGTTCAGGCCATTGGCAGGGACCCCGCACAGAAATATAGCTTATTTTGCTTCGTTTCATATTCGAGCTCCTGACAGCTTATGTGAAAACTGCAAACTGTATTTAAACACGACGGCTCTGCTCTGTAATTAAAGCTCTGTTCGCACACATGGACCAGACAATCAAAGGGACGGGGATTGTTCTCTGGAGGTACACATTTCTGCGATCAAAACAAACAGCGGTGAGATTGCTGTCAAGTCAAAAAGAGACAATTCTCCTCATCTTATTTGTATCAATCTCTTCTCACTTTTTAAGCATTGAGCTGGAAACCTTGGAAATCCCAACAGGGCAATTTGTTGGATAGAGCTTGGGAAAACACTGTGGTGAAATTCAATGTCCGCTCCGTCAGTCATTTTTCTTTATAAAGGATGTTGCAGTGCATAAATGTTGACACAATCACCTCAAAAATGTCCTGCGTCAAAAGGCAGCTTCGCCGGGGTGGTTTACACCCAATCATCTGGCTTTGTTGTTAAAGTCATGAGTGGGCCAGTGGACGTAGTGGCCCACAACCCACCGAGTGGGCCCGCTCAGAAATAGAATGGTACATTCCTAACCAATATAACAGCGGCAGTGCACCATCACAAGACCGCAGTAAATGGCAAAATTATTGTGCATACTTTCTGAGGCACGCCTAAAAAACCCCGCTGTGTCCACATGCACTCCCGCTAACATCAGGTAGCACTTAAGTGTCCTTCGCACTAATGTATGACTAAACATGCTGCCCCTTCACCAAGCTGCCCTGATACGTAGAGAAGGGACGCTGCCATGTGCCGCTGCCTCACCAGGCAATAAAGACACCCCGGCCTTCAATAACAGGATATGGTCTGTGTTTCTCATTTTGCAAATGTGCACAAACAGCTCTTTAAAATAAATCGCAGCTTCTGTTTGATAAAAAAAGAAAAGACAAAGAGTCACAGAGCAGCCGCCCATTTCCTGGGAAACTTTGCCGTGTCGCAGCAGTAGCACTTTCGCATGTTTTCCTCTCTAGCTGTGCAGTCTGCTGTTTTCCCACTCTCATGTTGTAAAAATCAGGAATGTCCCCGCTCTAATGAAGCGCCTCTCTGAAAAGACAGACTGCGAGAAAATTGAATTAATCTTAATATGGCCATTAGGTTGCCACCCAGCAGGAGAAATATGGCAAGACTAAACTATTCATGCTGTTCTGCTCTTAATCACTTTCTTACACTCCAATCTTTCATAGGCATAGTTTTGGCAAGGATCGGGGGGAAGAGGGCGAACCCAGAGCTAAACCAGAGATCTGTCTGCATGACTCTGTCGTCCAACCACGCACTGAGAGCTCCTGGTGAACACACATAGGTATCCTTGAAGAGAATATCCATTTCCCCTCACAAAAAGACACGCAGGTGTGCCTTGAAATGATCTGAAATAAAAAAAGCTGACACATGGCAGCACACCGGCAGCTTCAAATATCCCTTGTGTTTTCTATTCTCTTGTGAAGCGTGTCTGCCAGTTGTTGTTGGCCTTTAAGGAAGAAGGTTGGACGGAAAAGAGCAGGGACTCGATCCACAGCTGCCAAAACTTCCAATTTAGTCTTTAAGGAAGATTTCACCTCATACAAAAAAAAACTAACAATGCAGAATTTTATGTTTATTGAGGTTTTATTTGTTGCATAATTTATGGTCTGAATGTTGACTTTAAATTGGTCCTTTAATTAGCGGTGCCGATTTTGAAATAAACAGTAACAGAAACCAGAAGATGGAGCATGTGGATGCAGTCACTGAAGATTCAACCTTACACTCATTTCACAGATCTGAATCTGTCTCAAGCCTGTCGGAGCGCTTGTATATATCCTGTGAATCATCTGTTGTATATCACATAGATCCACAGTTTCATCTGACAATGGGAGCAGCATCAACATCAATGTGTTCCAGATCTGGCAATGTGATATCCTGCCTTTCTTCTGCCTGTAAACAGATCATCCATTTAAAGCCTCTACGTTTTACTTAAGACCGGCCCAGGCTCAGTGTCCGCTGACTGGTTCCACGTGTGTGCAGGCGGCACTGAGGTGTGTGTCTGTGTGGTTTCGGTGTGTAAGCGTGCGCTCTACCAAGGGGGTCATGAGTCAGTGGAGCAGGGACGTGACTGATGCCCTCCCTAAGTCTTACTCTAATTACCGCTGAGGTGTTTGTGATCGCCTTGGTGACAATCCTGAGCTCGCCCGGTGTGCAGTTTCAGCCCTGCCAAGAGGACACTGTCACAAAACCAGAGCCCGTAAGCTGTAATTGTGCATTTTCAAAAGCGATGCATTAGTCAATCACTGCACACCTTGACGTTCAGATGTGCGTGGGCTGGAGCGAGCAGTGACCCTGTCAACTGCTGTAGTAATTGCTGCTGAGTAATGTTCTTGCTTTGGCTCGGGGAAGGAAAAAAAACTCACCAATAAATCTGGAGGCCATTTTAGGACGTCGCCCAACAGGCTGCGAGTTCGCATGGGAAAAAAAAAATGCGACTGTTATAAGCCAAAGAAATGGCAAAGTTGAAACCATATAACCTTAACAACATCAAATTAAAGCTCTCATCAGAAGTTGGCTGCCGTGGAAAGAGGGTGAGAAGGCACAAAGTTGGCCAACAAAGCTGCACGGTTAAAGGAAATACCCACACCGCTGACTGCACAGAAGCACAGCCTCCAGTCATTTCCAATGCTTGCAAAGACAATGGGGATATGCTGAGGCTTAAGTAATAAGCTCAAAATGACTTCCAGAGCGGCAGGGCCTCCTCATTTCAGCGAGGCAGCGATGCGGGGAAATCAGAGCCACGCGAGCTGAGGGTTTCATGAAGGATCAAAGATCGTGATTAGCCTGCACTGTCCATCCACCATTACGGGGAGATCTGCTGCCGATGGCAACCATATGCCGGCCGGATTAACCTCTCCATCACAATCACTATCCAAGGGGAGGAGGAGACGAGGAGAAGGAAGTGGAGAGGAGAACAGAGCAGAGAGGTGAGAGGAGCCAGAGAGAGGAGGAAGGAGGGAAGGCTTGAGAGGAGAGGAGTGGAAGTGGAGAGGTAGAAAACATCAAATGTCAGTCAGAGATGTGTGGCATAACACGTGTGCCCAATATGCAGGAAGCCTTTTGGCAGGTTTCCCTGACCTATATACTCCGGAAGTTGGAGAAATTGCAGCCTGAAACAAGTCTTTCAACTTTTAAATGAGGCACAGTGGATGCTCTGTGCTGCACATTTGGAATTTTAATAAAGCCGATACGAGTCTGCAGTAAAGCCGGGTGATTTCACAAGCAGTGTAAAAAGACGTGGTCATCTGATTCAGTAAAAAGTGTGATATTTAATTTACAAGGCAACTGAAATTTGACTACTGCTAATAGTCTTCCACTACTGCAGCTTTATTTGGGTGCGACTGTAGACAGACAAGAAGAAATGAACTAAGAGAGACCCAACCAGTATTGACATGTGACATCTCGGACCATTAGTGGTGGAACGCCCAGGTATAGCTGGCCTATACTCCAATTGCATCTCTTGCAATCACATAATCCATGATATGTAGACATGCTTGTAATTGTTGGATGTGCTGATGCTGATCTTAGCTAGGACATAGTCTCTGTGTCCCCTCATTCTTTTGCAATGCACTTGAAACTACACCGGAAGAACCTACAAGGGTTCTGTTAAGCCTCAAGGCAAGTAATGTCAACGGTTCAAACTCGTCAGAAACAACTCTCAATTCCCGTTCTTGGTGACATCTCCCATTGGTTTCTAGAAAGACATTTTGAAGCCCAATGACAGAAAGTACCTGATTGAAACTTCTGGCTCAACCAAACTTGAAATCAACCAAGGAGGATGGTTCTTAGTCCTGTCCATCAACTCACCTATGATCCTAATTATGCAAATTTGTGCACAACTCTGTTTTCAGTCGTTTTCTGTCATTATTGTAAACACAGCTCTGTTTTAGTTCAACCATGCCACATAACTGTGGAGACCAGTCAGACATGAGAGACATGCATCTATACATGCAACACTTCCTCTTCACTCTGTCCTCTCATCATGTTATCTAATCAGTTCTGCAAAGGTTGGCGTGCTATGAGCTTGGCTTGTAGGGTAGCGTTGACAGCTTCTCACCCAGCATACTTTCTTTCTTCTTGCTTTAATACTGGTATACAATAGACTACCTCTTCCTGCATTATTACAGCTACATTGGTCAGACCAGTGTGTAGGATGCCTGTATATATAGAGGCAGCTGCATGTCTCCAGATGGGACCGGACCGGAAAAGAGTCACATGAGTTAAGACGCGGAGACACCGAGGTAGTTGAAAACGCTTTTCTGGTCCGAGTTTGATCAGTTAGTCTTCCTGTTGGCGTGACAACAGTAGCCTACAGTGTATACAGTGTCAACAATATATGTATATATGTATTTTTTTATAACTTTATAAAAGATTTTTGAAAAATGTCTGATTAATCAGTAATCAGTATCGGCATCAGCCCCATAAAATCGGTATCGGCATCGGCCCCATAAAATCGATTTTTATTTCTTAGTGATTTAATCTTCATTTAAACGAGGCATTTTACTTAATTGGGTTGCATTTATGCGTTCTTACTTAGGGTTTAATTAAACTTAAACGTTCTGCTGTGACATGAAGGCTGCTGTGAGTTTGTTTTATAACCAACACTTTCTTTGACGCTGTGGTGTAAAACCAGCACCCTGGCATCCTTCCATCTCCTTTTAATTGAACACAGATACTGACACAATCCTCCCTGCCTTTTAATTTATTGATAAAGCATTGCTAAATCTGATTTTCTTGATACATAGACTCCAACACAAACTGAGCTGAACCAAACTGTCTCATTCAGCCAAGCAGTTCATGAATTCATCGAAAAAAAACGTAATTTCTAACTTTATAAAGGTAACCATGTTGACCAAAATATATATATAAAAAAAAACCTTCCTCAGTTTTTGGGTTGTTTGTCGCTCTAATTTTCCTGTCTCCTTCACCCGCTCCCTCCGCTCTGTGCCTGTTCCAGATTACTCAGATGAGCCGATGAGTCGAAGGTTTAATGGGCCTCTGCTCTCTTTCATCAGCAGAGAGCCCAGTCATCACTGCTGAGTGGGAAGCCTATGTGGGCTCGGCTGCTCGGGGAATAGGAGCCGGATTAAGTGATATCATATTGTTTAGCAGGGGATCTCCCTCCCTTGGCAGCAGCACTGAGATTCAGTCATGCCTTCAATAGGTGTGTAGTCATCATGTTTTCTGATACTGGCGTACATGTGGTCATATCTGCTCCAGAGATACTTTATCTCACAGCTGTCATGACAGTAAATCGAAATTAAAATGCAGGCATTTGTTCGAAAGGGATGAGTCATTTGTATATCATAAAGGCGCATTCATACAGTCATACTACACACATAAAGCATCTGCGAAGGTCCGTCTTTCTGTCCTCTCCAGCTGAGAAAATGAGTGGGTGGGACAATTTAGCCGACTCTCCCGAGGCCTGTTTTTGCTTGCTGATGAAAAAGCGTTCTGTAAAGCAATAGCTACAGTTCGTATATTTTCTCTGTAAACCATTCAGCTGTGTTTGAAGTCGTTGCACCAACTGTAGAAAGACACTTTGACCTGTGTAGTCTCTCGAAAGTACTTTGCTCTGACATCATGTTGACACATTAGCTTACAGTGAAATTTAGCTCAGAGATGCTTGGGGGAAACCGGGCCCTGGTTACGAGAGAAGGTCAGGGCAGATAAGTGAGTGCTGCTGCTTAAAGACCTTGTAGCAGTGGTTCACATTGACTCTCTTTGTAGCTTTTGAGCTTCAATAATGATTGTTAATGCACTTTTTGAGCCTTGTTATTGGAGCTAGCACTAGTCTTTCAGTTTCATGCAAAATTAAACCATCTGAGAAAGAATACATGACTTGATTAATTTGACTTAGCGTTTGAATAATATGACATGCATATCCCTGTTCATTTGAGGTCGGCTGAAATTAATGAAATGTGGATATATTGTACCTGAAACAACAAGAGAGCATTGCGGTTGCTTTAGAGGAAGGAATATTTGTGAAACCATGAGGCCGGTTTGTGCCTGTGAATAAGCAGACCCTCCATCCACCATTCCCTTCTAATTAGGTGCAACAGATTTAATATAAACGTCACGGCCTTTCATATAATCCTGCCCATTAAAATAAGAACAGCCATTAGGGAACGCTGATGTAATGACTGTTATGAATGCAAGCAGTTCTAAATGTCAAATGTCATTTATCACGGCCACCCAGGTTTGTTCATGCTGGGAAACCTTTGGGAACTTTCAGAGAGAGTTATCACAGCGCTGCGTCGGTTCTTTTCTTGACCAAATAAACAAGCAACAGCATTGTAAGGGTAAAGAAAATGAAATGGCTCATTTCCTAAATCAGAAAACAATAGTGTCTCTTTTGAAGATAGA